CATCTACTCCTCTGGGGTGAGTTTGCTTCCTTTTGTTCTAGAGCTTTCAGTTGTGCTGTTAATTCTCTAGTGTGAGTATTCTCCAGTTTCTTCATGTGGACACTTAGTGCTATGAGATTTTCCTCTTAACAATGGTTCAAAAGTGTCCCATAAGTTTGGGTAAGTTGTGTCTTCATTCTTACTGAATTCTAGGAAGACTCTGATTTCTTTTTTTTATTTCTTCTTTGACCCAGGAATGGTGCAATTTCCATGAGTTTGTCTGGTTTCTGCAATTTGTGTTGTTGTTGAATTCTAACTTTAAAGCATGGTGGTCTGATAAGATACATAGAGTTATTCCTATTTTTTTTTGTACCTGTTGAGGTTTGCTATGTTGTCAAGTATGTGGTCAATTTTTGAGAAGGTTCTGTGTGGCACTGAGAAGAAGGTATATTCTTTTGTGTTTGGATGGAATGTTCTATAGATGACTGTTAAACCCAATAGGATCATAACTTCTATTAGTTCCTTTGTTTCCTTGTTAAGTTTCTGTCTGGTAGTCCTGTCTAGTGCTGAGAGTGGGGTGTTGAAGTCTCCCACTATAAGTAAGTGTGTGAAGTTTTATATGTGATTTTAGTTTTAGTAATGTTTCTTTTATGAACGTGGATGCCTTTGTATTTGGGGCATAGATCTTCATAACTGAGACTTCATCTTGGTGGATTTCTCCTGTGATGAGTGTGAAGTGACCTCCTTCATTTCTTTTGATTGATTTTAGTTTAAAGTCTAATTTGTTAGATATTAAGATTGCTACCCCACCTTGTTTCTTGAGTCCATTTGATTGGAAAAATCTTTTCCCAACCTTTAACTCTGAAGTAACGTCTGTCTGTGGAGCTGGCTAACCAGTGATCATCTGTCTCTGCCCCAAGGCTGGGGTTACAGGGCTTGATGAAAATTCTTCCCCTGGTGAGACAGAAACAGTTTCTACATCCTCCTCCTAAGGTCCCAAAATCAAGCCAGGGCACTATTCTACCTAAGTTGAACTTTGAACTTTCAAAGCATAAAACTTTCAAAGCATAGAAGGGGGTAATTAGGAGGAGTCTGGGTGAACCCAAAGCAGCCACACTTAGACAGTCTTCATCCAGCATGGATGATGGCTTCCCTACAGTCACATGAACTGGTTCTCATTTTAGTTAACCTTGTCAGGTCTATATACCCTAGCATCTCCCAAGAGGCTAAGGTCAATTGCAATGAGGGCAGAATGACATACATATGTCTGGGAGAAGTAACTAGAATCTTGGGTGGAGGTTCAGTGACTCTCTCTACCCCCTATGAGGTAATGCCAACAGCCTGATCATGATGGACTCTTGCAAGCATACAAGGCTAATCTAATGAAGATGGGAGTTGCTTTGCTTTAGGAACCACAATCTACAACAAAAACATGCAAATATGTCCAACTTTTATGTAGGTGCTGGGGACTGGAACTCTGATCCTCATTTTTGCACAGCAAGCACTTACCCACTAAATCATCTCTCTAGCTAATCCTACAATTCTTGCCATGTTTGAGATTAAGGAGTCTTTTTAAGAAGTCCCTGCCCATGTCTTCATCTTGAAGTGATTTCCTATGTCTTCCTTTAGCAGTTTTGACATTTCAAGTCTTAAAGGTCTTTGATGCATTTTAAACAGGTTTTGTTTATGGTTGAGTTACAGATCTAGTTGTATTCCTTGTGGCCCTCCAGGTTTCTCAGCACCATTTGCTGAAGAGACTATTCTCTCTCCAAAACAGGCTTTGGCACATTTGTCAAAAAACAGGTGGCTGTGGCTGTGTGGATTTATCTCTACGTCCTATATTGTTCTATTATTCTGTGTATCTGTTTTGTGCCACTACCATGAAGTTTCTGTTAATCTGACTCTAGTATAATCTGAAATCAGGTATTGTGACAGCTTTGACATTTGTGCTTACTATCGATTTAGCTATTTGGGGTCTTCTTCACTTCTATGTGATTTAGAGGGTTGTTTTTTCCTAATTCTGTGAAAAATGTCATTGGACTTTTGGTAAGGATTGAAGTGAATCTGAAGATCATTTAGTATTGTAGCCATTTCAGTGTTTATTTTGCTGATCCATGGGCACAGGGGTCTTCTCACTCTCTAGCAGGCATGTTCAACCTTTTGACATTGCAACAAGACATTGTCATCTATGAAGTTCATGCGCAAGACCCTAACAATGAACTAAGAAATCATCTCAAAATCTCTCTCTCCCTCTCAAGTAAATTTACAAACTTGTGTTGGGCCATACTCATAATTACGCTAACACATAGCAAATGCCTTTAACTTCTGAGCCACCTCTCTAGCCCCTCAAAGGACTTTTCTACATCAAGTAGATAATTACACTTTTTGTCCTTTTATAGTATATGCTGAATTACACACACTTACTAATGTTATGTTGAGCCACCTTGCTCTCTGAAATGAAGCCAAGTTGGTTACAATGTAAGATCTACATTCATCATGGAAATTAGTCTCTAGGGGTTTTTGTTTGTTTGTTTGTTTTTCCTGCTATGTTCTTCTGTGGTGGTCAGTGAGTTGGCATTTGAGTCTGTCTGTAATTCTGTTCATGTTTGGTTTGTTTTTTCTCTTAATAGCAGTTTGTGTCTCCTACCTGAATGGTACTGTGGATTGAGCCTTTTATAAACTGCTGGAGCTGGATAATGGTGGCACACACCTGTAACCTCAGCACTCAGAAGGCAGAGGTAGGTGAATCTCTGCGAGTTGGAGGCCAGCCTGATCTACAGCGTGAGTTCCAGGACAGCCAGGACTACAGAGAAACCCTGTCTCAGGAAGAAAAAAAAAAAAAAAAAAAAAGAATAAGCTTCTTGAGTTGGAGAGATGGCTCAGCTGTTAAGAGCACTGGCTGCTCCTCCAAAGGACCTGAGTTTGATTCCCAGCACACACAAGTGGTTGACAACTGTTAACTCCACTTCCAGAGGATCTGATGTTCTTTTCTGGCTTCTGCTGGGATAGGGTATGCACATGGTGCACAGACATACATGCAGGCAAAACATCCATACACATAAAATAAAAATAAAAAGTAACTCACAACAAAAAAAGGCTTCCCTATGAAGAACCACAGATAAAACTGGAGATATCAACAGATGCCCAAGTCACAAAACAGAAATAAGCTGGTGTTGGTGGTGCACGCCTTCAATCCTAGCACTCGGGAGGCAGAGGCAGGCGGATCTCTGTGAGTTCGAGGCCAGCTTGGTCTACAGAGCTAGTTCCAGGACAGCCTCCAAAACAATACAGAGAAACCCTCTCTCAAAAAACAAAACAAAAACAACAACAACAACAACAAAAAACAAAACAGAAATAAAAGAAACAAGTCAAAGCAGGCAAAAGTAGAATGTGCTGTAAAAGTAAATATTGCTTAAGACAAAGGTTGCAGTTGTAAGTGAATGAAACAAAGGGGGCCGGGGAATGGAGTAAAAAAGGGGACATGAAAGTTAAATAAAGTATGGTGACATCTTTCTTGCACAAACAAAGCCTGTATTTGTTATAAACTTTTTAAAAATTGTAGACAAAAATAGGGATATGTGGCAACATCTTGCTTGTACAAATAAAGCCTGTCTGAGGGGTCAGAGAATGGCACTTGCCACTAGCTAACCATAGAAGTCAGGAGGTCTGTACAGATAGACAGGAAGTGATGTAGCTGAGCAGAAACAGGATATAAGTAGGGAGAAACAGGAACTCATTCTCAGCTGAGACGCTTAGGTGGTAAGGTGTGCTGTGGCTTGCTCCTTCTCTCTGATCTTTCAGACAGGCTTTATTTGTGCAAGAAAGATATCACCACAGGAAAGTAAAAAAATGGGGAGCAGAGAGCAATGTTCTAAAGAGGGATGGAAAAGAGCAAGAGATTTTTAAAACTCTGACTGTCCACTAACAAGGAAGTGCATAGATAATGTAGATAAATATAAATGGTCAAGAGGTGTCCAGGTGTGGTAATGCACACCTTTGATCCCAGCACTCAGGAGGCAGACAGGTGGATCCTTGAGTTCCAGGACAGCCAGGGCTAAAAAGAGAATTCCTGTCTTATAAAAATTTGCCTTCTCTTTCTTCTTTTCTTCCTCCCCTTTTTCTTTTTTCACTCAGTTGCCCAGGTTGGCTAGGAACTCATTATGTATCCCAGGTTTTTCTCAAACTTTAGTGATCCTCCTGCCTCAGGTTCCTAAGAGCTTGATAAAAGTCTTTAAAAAAATAAAAGTTGCCAGGCATGGTGGCACATTATAATCCTAGCAATCAGGAGGCAGAGGAAGGCAAATTTCTGTGGGTGTCACAACAGCAAAAGCTACACAGTGAGATCGTCTCAAAAAATAAATAATTACCAAAATAAAGAAAAAAGTGGGGCCTTAGACACAAAAAGATGACGTGTTGGAGAAATTTCCCTCTTGCTCTTCTAAATTTGGGGGTCTCTTAGGTAAGAGGGACAGTGGGGAGGGAATCTATCAGATGGTGACTTAAGTTGTCATCCCTTTAGGAGAGTCCCTTCTCTGTATCAGGAGCCTCTACTGGCCACTTAACTTTGCTGCACATGGACCAGACAGGTTCTCCCAGTCTCCGTTGACTCAATTTATGTACCCTAGGGTGGCTAATATTATAGCCAGAGGGTGTCTCCCAAGAGCACTGGGAATGGGGATGCAAATACAGCATTGAAATCCATACAGAAGTACCCGTTTTTGTGCCCATTCTGCATTAAACATCCTCCTGGGGCATGAGTTGCAGAAGTACATGCATGTGCGTCTAACCAACTCCCACTGCACACACAAACCCTCCCATGAATACATAAAACTGCCACACAATTTCACTGAAGACCCCCTTAGCAATGACACTAGAACTGCTCCTCACATGGGGATATTGGTTAAGTGACCAGCACTTAACCCAAGCAAAATGTCTAGTCCTCTCCACTGTGTGCCTGAAAAAAAAGTAGTTTTTACTCTTTAGAAATAAAAACCATAGAAGCCACAAGCTCACTCCAAAAGTATGAAAATGGAGCACCATGGGTTGATTTTTAATAGTCTTTTTCCAAATTATAACAATCTGTCATGTTCACACCACAGAAACTTCAGCCCTCTAAAATCATGCAGAAAAACTAGATAATAGATAAGTACACAAAGTAGGCAAAATATTTTAACAAAAAATTGTCTAAAATATGCAAAATTTCACTATGAAATGTTTCAACTTGTATGATTTAGTACTTAAACCAACCTGATTTAGTTGCTTCCAATCTCTATTTTAGAATATCTTTTTTAAAAAATATATCTATTTCTATGCTTTAAACCAGTACCTGCATACCCACATGTAAGCTATTCTGCCTTTCAAGTTTTCTGGACTACACATTTAAAACCTGGATTTCAGATATGCAATAAGCCTATGGTTATCAACAGCAGCAGAGTTGGTAGGATCTTCACAGCATGACAGTGAATCCTCACTTACATTCTTAGAACTGAACCAAATACACAGAATGCCTTGGCGTGCGTTAGTTCTAACCCTGTAACCTGGCTCTGCACTTGGTTGCTGTGTTCTTCTGTGTGTTACACAGATATGCTGACTTTGCAATCTATGCTTTGTAAGAGAGCAGGTAATTCCAGAACTGAAGAAACCATATAGTGAGGCATGGGGGATGGTGTCAGCGGCACCTTCCCACTCTTGTTTATCCAGACTGTGGCTTTCAGTCCTGCATTGAGGCCTCCTTGTATATCAGTTTCTAGTGTGTCACCGACCATCACGCAGTCCCCTGGCTGCACTCCAAGGAGATCACAGCAGTGATAAAATATGGAAGGTGCTGGTTTCTCCTCTTTCTGTTCTCCTCCTACAACAATAGCGTCAAAGTAAGACTGGCAGGCACAAGCCTCTATTTTCTCCCTCTGTGTCTGCCTGTCACCATTTGTTAACAAGAGTAGGCGGACCTCTTTGCGAAGTTCAGTGAGCATGGCTTTGACATCTTCTGCTAGGGTCATATGCTGTAAACGTGTAGATTTCCACAGGAAATAACATTCTTCTGCCAATTTCCTATTGTCTGCACCACCTCTGGTTTCCTGGATTGCTTCTTCCCAGTGTGAAGTCCTCACATCTGTAATGCATGTACTGTAAGGATGAAAGCATTCCTTGCTGAGTTTTACTTGAACTTTATCACAGATGACTTCTGCTTCTTCTTTGTAGTGGTATTTTGATTGTAAGAGCTTTATTACCTAGACAAGGAAAATAACTTGGTCAGCATACCTGTCTTCCACAGTCATGTCTTGAGAAGCAAAGACTTCTTCCCATTTCCACACCATCTCTAGAGGGAACTGGTCTTAGTTTTAGAGATGCCAAATTAAGGACTCTCCACCCCCAGAGACAATCAATCATACACATATCATATGTCTGCCCCCTACAACCCCCGCTGGGTCTGTCTCTGTCTCAAATTACCATGTTTAAAAACCAGCATCTATTTTATGATTCTTCACATAAAGCCAAAAACAAGCTTTCATCGGTTTGGTAGCCTACCATGTTTCATACTGGTCATGAAGACACAAAAAATAAGAATTTTGCTTAAATCTAGTGACACATTTTAATAATTTCTGAAAAGCACTGCTATAACATACACACACACACAGTACTGGTGACAGAATCAAGGGCCTTGTCTACATTAGGTACACTACCACCAAGCTACACTCCCAGCCCTACTAAACCACAGTTACCCATTTGGTCTATTTTAACATTTACTAGGCACTGAAATGTGGCTAGTTTTATGGTTACACTAGTATAGACCTTATTAACATTTGCTATAACTCTACAATTCCCCTTTCAAGACAAGGCATAGGAAGTTCAGAACTGTTAAAAATTTCCCCGAGTTGGGATTTGAATTCATACTTGCCTGCTTCTGCAGCAGACATGCTGGCCTGATAGCATGCACTGATCCCTGGAGACAGGGTCCCTTGTCCATGGGGCATCACCATAGGAAAAGGAAGCAGACCCATAGTCATTACTGACTGATTCTGGGTTGAGTGCCACTGACAGTTAAATGGGCAAGAACTACAGAAATAAAACTGAATTCATTCCTTTTTGTTTTTTGAGACAGGGTTTCTTTGTGTAGCCCTGGCTGTCCTGCAACTAGCTCTGTAGACCAGGCTGGCCTCAAACTCACAGAGATCCACCTGCCTCTGCCTCTCAAGTGCTAGGATTAAAGGTGTGTGCCATTCTTTTTTTTTCTCTTTCTTCTCACATCAATAATTAAGAGCATTCTTAACAACAATAGTTGAATAAGGCTTGGCAGAAGTCATACTCAAAGCAAGAGTTGATAAGCATGGTCAAGGGAGGTTTAATTCATGCCACACAGAAGCAAAAAAGGGCATGGAATTCTGACCCCAAAGGGACGAGCCAAGTTGAACCAAAATGGAAGGCATAAGGAGACAAGGATATGCTGGAGGGTCCTTGAATAGATGCTGCCCAAATCCCTTCCGCAACCACTTTTCCCACAGATGCCAAGTTTCAAGTTTGTGACTTCTCTGCTTGCAGGCTTATCCACAGATACATCCAACATGCAGACTGGGGCTGTGGTGTTGCCCTAGGAGCAGCATTCAACCAATCAGAGGCAGAAACTGTGGATAAACATCACACCTTCGATGCTTTCTTGTGACAACTAAAGTATGTTCTACACTGTCATCCCAGACTGGTGTCTCATACCAGTAGTCACCTGATCATTGATATACTTCGTAATAGCATTCTACTCTTACCTTCCACACCCTTCCAATGAACTACCTATACGGAAGGACGTACTTCTAAAGTCAGCCGAACCAAGGCAAATATTGATCTTCAGAAATGAATGTAAGACATTGTGCTATGATGGTTGTGGGTGCTGCTCATGGGTATAAATGGGCCTTGCAGGCATAAGGCCCTTTCCTGCACCACCATCAGAAATCGTTTCTATTAAAGCAAAGCAGTCCAGTAAGTAAAAATGATACAAGGAACAAGTGGCATACTGCTCACTCCAAAACTCTGTACACTGAAAAGGAGCAAGGTATTAATAAAACAGTTTCTCTTCTTAGGAATGTAAGAATTCCCTCTAATAGAGGAAAAAGAAGTACTTCAGGCTATTTGTGTAAACCAGCTATCTCACTCTGTAGCCCAGGCTGGTCTTGAACTTAGAGTGATCCTCCTGCCCCAGTTTCCAAGAAGAAAAGTCTCATTGATCAAGAAAAATACATCAGTCCTAACCATTTAAGGCAAAAGCAAAACACAGAAAATTAGCCTTTTCAACTCCATGGTTGTGCCACCACCTTAAAAAAACAGAATATGGACTGTTAATTCTTCAGCTACATTCCAAGAGCACTCCTAAGTTTCACTGCAACATGGTAAAGTGAAACAGGATTGGTTGACAGAGAATAGAAAGTAACCACGAGCTGGGGTGGGGGGTGACTAAGCATTCAAATATGGGAACTGTTTTTTTCTGTCATAATCTTGGGCTGGGGGATAACTCAGTGGGTAAAACACCTTCTAAGTGCAAAGAGCTGAGTCTCACTAGCTAGCCAGTCTAATCGAACTGGTGAGCTTCAGTTCAAGAGAACCTGTCGCTAAGGAGGCAGATGGTGTTCTTAAGTATGACACATGAGGGGATTTCTTCCAGCCCCCACATATGAACACACATGTGCATGCACACTCATGAACATACACCCATGCACATAAAAATATTAACATCTTCAAACAGAAATACCACTTAAGTTGAATCAGCACACCATTACAAACTCTCCTAGCCCCTCACTGAAAATGAGTTTGGGCTCAATTGGAAATAGAGGACAAAGCCCTCTATTTTGAAGTTGTAAGGACATTTTGTACTTGGGATAAGACAGCTCGGAAAGAACTAAGGTAACGAATGCACCAGGTAACTGCAGACATGAAAACAGGGTCCTGTAACAGTGAGAGAGCAAGCATCAGTCTAGATTAAAACATTCAAACTCTAACACTCTGAACATCCATGAAAAGATCTTTTCTACTTTCCACTCCCTGGACCTAGGAACCAAAGTCACTGTCAGAAGAAAGAGGTAAGCAAACTGTGATTTTACAAAACTCTTTGAGAGTTAGCTTGAGAACTATATAATAACACTTTAAGAAAGTATTTTCTGAATGCCTGTTATTTGGATGTGAAGGAGCTAAATTAAAACATCACACACACACACACACACACACACACACACACACACACACAGACCTGCTAAACAGCCCAGAAATTTAAAATAACCTTTGTTATTATTTTTTAAGATTTATTTTTTAAGTCTGTCACATGTGTGGGGCTGCCCATGGAGGCCAGAAAGCATCAGATCCCCAAAGCTGGAGTTACAGCTGGTTGTGAGCCATCCAACATGGGTGCTGGGATGGGAACTTCAGTCCCCTGGAGGAGCAGCCAGTGTTAACCCTTAAGCCATCTCTCCAGCCCATCCACCTGGTTCTTGGTTTTCTTTTTCCATTTTTTTTTTAACATTTTAGAGACAGGCTCTTATGTAATCCAGGCTGATCTCAAACTCTCTTTGTATCAGAGGGATGACCTTGAATTTCTGATTCTTCTACCTCTATTTCATGAATATTGGGATTACAGGCATGTACCACCATGCCTCGTTTTTTTTATAATAATTTTTTTATTAACTCTTTACACATATTACTCTCAGTTCCTTCTCCCTCTCCTCCTCTCCTGGCCCCCCCATTCCTCCCAACCCCCAACCCCATTCCATCTCCCCTCCGCTCCCCAGGGAGGATAAGGCCTTCCATGAGGGATTTTCAGAGTCTGTCAAATAATCCCAGGCAGGGCCTAGGTCCCACCCCATGTGTCCAGGCTGAGAGAGCATCCCTCCATGTTGGACTGCAGTACTGGACTCCTTTAATTGGCAATGCCGTACAGGTCTTCTGTGAAGGATTTCACCATTCAAGCTCTGTTTCTATAGTACTGGCATTGCATAATTTCCAAAAGTGCTGTTTTTCTCATCTTTGTTGATATTTACTTCTTTTACCATGCCTCGTTTTGCTTGCTTTTTGAGACAGGGTTTCTCTGTGTAGCTTTGGAGCCTGTCCTGGCACTCGCTCTATAGATCAGGCTGGCCTTGAACTCACATAGATCCACCTGCCTCTGCCTCCCAAGTGCTGAGATTAAAGGTATGCAGCAGCAGCAGCAGCAGCACCACCACCACCAGGCTCATGCCTAATTTTATATGATTCTAGGAACTGAGACCAGCGATTTGTGAAAATTAGGCAAGCACTCTACCAAATGAACTACATCCTCAGCCCAGATGGCCCTTTTTATGTCTGAGTCAAACATCATCTACTAAGACCAAATATGATTTTCTAACATACTTATGAATGCATTTATCATGTTCACAGCTATTTCTATCAGACCTTTAATTTACAAATGATTTTTTGATCTGTCCAATAAAAAACCATACATGTAGGTTTCCTCTTGACTATGAAAGCATGCTGTAGAGGTTTGATCAAGAATGGCCTGGATAGGCTCATGTATTTGAAAGTTAGATTCCTAGTTGATGGACCATTTAGGAAGGATTAGGAGGTGTGGCCTTGCTGGAGGAGATGTATCATTGGGTTGGGCTTTTGAGTGTTCAAAAGCCAGGACAAGTCTTGCTCTCTGCCTCCAACATGCAGGTCAGATATGAGCTCTTAGCTACTGCTCCAGGGCCATACCCGCCTACCACCACGATGATCAGCTAGACTAACCTAAAACAGTAGGTAAGCCCCGACTTTAAGCTGCTTTGGCCATGGTTTTGTCACAGCAATAGAACAGTAACTAAGACATATGCCTAGAGATTGCAAATGATTCTTTTAAAAGTACAGTTGAAATACTCCTTCCCAAGGCAAAAGTCAGATGTTTTCTTAGCCCCTCATAAGTCATTCAGAATGGCTTATGACAGCTAGCATGTTACTTTGGAATAGGCAGAAATTTATAAGGAATGCTGCATCCTTATAAGATAGCCTTCACAATATTTAATTTTGCTAATTTCATAGGCCATTTATAAATAAAGGAGGTGGTAAAAGAACCAAAACTGGAGATCTGAATTCTTGTCCACCACCCAGTATTCACTCAGCATTTACTACATATCAAACACAAATAATTAAGACAGCGTATTTCCTTTGAGGAAACTCAGGATCCAGCCATAAGCATGAGTTGCAAAAATTAATGATAACATCCTGACAGGTGCCATAAGAGGAAAATACGGCATCAACACCATGGAGTAATACGGTGGGCTGGTGGTGTTGCTCTGAGGTAGGAGTCTCACTATGTTGCCTAGACTGATCTCAAATTCTGGAGCTCAAGTGATGTTCTTGCCTTGGTCTCCCAAGTAAATTTTTGTTTAAAAAAAAAACAAAAACAAAACAAAACAACAACAACAACAAAAAACCAAAGCTCAACATGGCAGAAATGTGGAGGATGAATTGGATGTGGTCAGCCTGGAGACAAGATCACAGCAAAAATCTACATAGGTTGGGCCTTTCTGTAATTAATGCAAGAGTAAGTGTCCTCAGAGACAAGAGTGGATGAGGACATCGTTCGCTGAGTGAGCACTGGGTGCTACATTCTTCCCATGTATTTTATTAAAACTATCCGACTGTGTTTCTCAGGTTAACACTCAAATTTGACAAGGATCTGAGGCTAAGCCTGGGCAGGGGACCTGCTGAGACACTTGGTACTGGAAGAACTGTGGTTGAAACTAAATGTGAGGTTTTAGAAGCTTATAACAAGAAACAGCCTAAAACAAAAACTTAATTTCAAAGCAGTGGGCTTGGCTAGTAAGAATACGGGGTAAGTATGCACTATCTGCTGGTAGAGATAATGGCAAGGGTGTCAAACAAAATGTAAGAGGCACTGGACTGTTTCCAAGTGTGAGCAGAAGTAGCTCAGTGAAAAACTTGTTTAGGAGGACAAACCAATTGTATTCTAGTGGTGGAAACAGAAGCTACCTGCCAATGGATTTGGAAATACATAGATGGAGATGATACATAAATGGGTGTAGAGTTTCCTAAAAACATAGCTGTGAAGAAAAGCACAGTCTAAGAGAGGTGTGTTAAAAACAATTATAAGATAGACACGAATTACATGTGTGAAATGCGGCAAGAAACGGGAAAGGTTTAAGACCCGGATAAACAAAAACTACCTGAAGAAGCATAGGATCTTTAGTATTGAAAGGGCTGGCTTTTGTAAGTGTTTTTCCACATCGGATACTCCTTCGGTTCTCCTTGAAACTGACGGCAGAGGGAGGAAAATAAGGGTGGGTTATGGACTGGAGAAAATGAGGAAGATGTCCGACAGCATTTGCAGCTACAGGAAGGAGGATGCGGATCAGCAATGCGTCACTAAAAGAATGCCCACTGAGCATTTTATGTCCCGAGGGTCTCAACACCAGAAAGCCCGGAAGGACAGAGAGGCCTGCAGGGAAAAAATACTCTGATGTAGGTTAAGTCCAGGCCCGCCTCTCAGAGTTATGTAACTTCCTGGGCCAAAACCTTGTCTGAGCCTCTTTCCCCAAACCCACCGCAGCCCATCCCGCGCGGTCACGTCCCGCGCCGTCCGAGCACGGGTGACCGCAGGTGGCGACGACTCTGCAGTCGTGGCAGTTCAGAGTCCAGCGCCCGGCCCCGCGCGCGGGAAGGCAGCTCCATGGGCACGCGGCGGGGGACCGCGGAGTGCTGGCCCGGCAGGGGAGGGCGACGGCGCGGGGACGTTACCTCCAACATGCCTCTCCGGCTCGCCCCGGCCGTATCGATGAGTGTGTTGTCCAGGTCAAAGAAGACCGCGCGCACCCGACTCAGCCCCATAGCCTCGGCCGCTCAAGCCGCCCGCGAGCTGCCTCCGCCGCACCGCACATGCGCGACGACGGCCAGGAGAAGTTGGGCGGAGTCGTGGGGTCACCTGACTCTCCTGAAGTACCGGGGACTCTGTGGAACTACCGCGAGATGGCCTCGATACCTGAGCATGTGAGCGAGACTCGGGCAACATAAATTTTGCAGAAGGTGCGCGTGCGCGATATAGGCACGAATGTGTTATGGCTTCCTGATGTGTGGGTGGATAGTTAAGAACCGTGTCTTGGTGGGTTTGCTTTTCTTCCCTTTCTCTGTGGTGCGGGATAAGAGGGACGTCTGAATCGCACTGGAGGAACTCTCCAGGCACTTTGCTGCCCTGCCTTGGTTGCTGGACAGTCAGCATCACGAGCTGGAGCATCAAGGGCCACGAGGGTGTGCTAGGTACCCTGCAGTCTGTGCTACACTTTCCAACCTCGGAACCCAGCTGCCTGGTGTCCTCGGCGCTTCACTTCTTGTCTTGTTGCAGCTGTAACCAGAACATTTAAAGAGGCAAGGGAGGCTCTACAGTGTCAACCCCATTTTAAACCTTCTTTTTGTATGTGTATTTGCGTTTGTGTGCACATGAGTGCAAGTGCTTTCAGAAGACTGAAGAGTGAGCTGCTCACTGCGGGTGCTGGGAACTGAACATGAGGCCTCTGCAAGAGTAGTGTGAGTTCTTAACCACTGAACCATTTCTCCAGCTCATTTCTCCTCATCTTTATTCATTTCCCTGAAACCTTGCAACCCGGTCTCCTGTGCCTATTAATCACATGGTTTTCTGGCTATAAGAAGTGGGCAAGGACACTAGACAGTCCATTAAGCCTCTCTTGCCCAGAATCTGGACAAGAACAAGGTTTGCCTTGTGTTAGCTGAAATTAACCTCTAATCCTTTGTGATTAATGAAATTTGGGCCACCATCAGTAACCAGAAATTGTTTATTGGGTCCATCAATGCTACAGATTTGATCTTGTTGAGTTTGCAAACTAGGAGAGGTTCTTACATTGTAAGTTGTTCTAAGAATCCAAGAAATATTTCATGATGTGAAAATTGATGAAATGCAAATTTAATTGTCCATAATTTAGTGTATTGAATGAACTTTATTTTCTTTTGTCTTTTGAGACAGTGTCTTCTTGTGCAACTGGCTGGCCTGAAGCTAGTGTAGACCAAGCTGACCTCAAATTTACAGTGCTTTTGTCCACCAAGTGCTAGTTCTAAAGGCATACACCACCATCTGACTTGAATTAACTTTGACTAAGATCTATGTCTGTAATGGAACGATACTGTCTCAAAGTGGCTTCTGTTCATAGTGAACCATACTCTACCTAAGTAATACATACAAAACAATGTAACAAAACAGCTGAGCCTCCAGCCACTCAGACCAAAACAGCCAAAACATGACTGTATAAGGTTAATACTGACTTCAGTCAATCAGATTGTTCCTGTATACCATTGTCTTTTCATCGGCTATATATTTAACTTTGAGCTGTATTGTGTAAATAAGAAACTCACTGAACCAACTTTCATCAGAAGTTTTTTTGCCTGGCCATAGAACCTTCTTTGTTGAAATAAATTTAACTCATACTTGTTTGTTTCTGTGTGGTATATTTCTGCTTTTGCCTTACAATGACAGAGTTGAATAGCATGACTGAGGTCTAAAATAATTAGCTCTGTACAGAGAAAAAAATGCTCCCATAACCTGAGGTACACAGACAGTCACAAATGGATTTCTGATGCTCAGTAGGAAAAGATGAATGGCAGACTACCAAAAGTATGCCTCCTCTAGCAGACTGCATTCCATGGATACGGAGGCAGCAAATCCCATGTTCCATGGATACGGAGGCAGCAAATCCCAGGTGTTCCCTTAGGCTAGCAGTCAGCCTAAATTATGAATGCATTATCTGGAAGTATTTTTTGTAGTTGTATCAAATGTCATAATAAATGTAAGCAAAGCTGCTAGTGGTCACATGAATCTTACAGAGCTGGAGCAGGTCTTCTGATGTGCATATAGCGTGTTGCTAATTCAGCGACAAATCTACACTTGTACAAGGCATAGCAGCCTATATAACCAATCCTAACAGACAGGTTTGTTTCCCGTTATGATACCATGAATTGATTGGTGCCTTAGGGTTTCTGTTGCTGTGAAAAAGGCACCATGACCACAGCAACTCTTATAAAGAAAGACATTTAATTGGGTGGCTTACAATTCAGATATTTAGTCCATTATTATCATGGTGGGACATGGTGGTATGCAGGTAGACATGGTCCTGAAGAAGGAGCTGAGAATTCTACATATTTGATCCACAGGCAACAGGAAGTGAAGTGAGACACTGGGTGTGGCTTGAGGATATATGAGACCTCAAAGCCTACTCCCACAGTGATATACTTCCTCTAACAAGGCCGTACCTACTCCAACAAGCCACACCTCCTAGTAGTGTCTCCCAATGAGCTTATGGGGACCAATTACATTCAAACGGTTACAGTTGATATTCAAAAATGGCTCTTCACAGCCTGGTTCCTTCTAAATTTACATGTCTGGAAGCCTCAAGATGTTAATACTTGTGAACACACCTTTAATCCCAGCACTCGGGAGGCAGAGGCAGGTGGATCTCTGTGAGTTGGAGGCCATCCTGGTCTACAGAGCAAGTTCCAGGACAGCCTCCAAAACAATACAGAGAAACTCTGTCTCAAAAAAACAACAAGAAAAAATGTGTGTGTGTGTGTGTGTGTGTGTGTGTGTGTATGTGTGTGTGTGTGTGTGTGTACTAGTAAGTTTTACTATGGAAATTCAACAGTGAGATGCAAGATGATAAAAATATTATGAACATCAGCTAATGAATATTTGAAAAGTGCTAGTTAGTTTATTTATCATAGTCAACCCCAATAGAAAAATTGCTCAGATGAGACTGGCTTATAGCTATGACTGTAAGAGAGATTGTCTTGATTTATGATTAATTTGGGAGGGCCTAGCCCCCCTGTGGACCTAGCCCATTCTTAAGCAGGTAGGTCAGAGCTATAAAAGAAAGCTAACATGGTCCAGAGAGTAAAACAACAATCTACATGCCTACATGGTATTTGTTTCTAGTTTTTGCTTAAGTTCCTGCTCCGGCTTCCCTTAGTTATGGATTGTGACCGAAAAACATTACCCAAATAAACCTTTTCCTTCCCAAGCTGCTTTAAACAAAATATTTTATCACAGAACTGGAGGCAAGCTAGAACAAAGGTCAATCCCATTAATACTTAAGAAATGTAAATCTAAGTTATAAATAAAGATAACATATTTAGCCATGGTGGTGGTCTACATCTTTAGTCCCAGCACACTGCCAGCAGATGGACGCAAATCTCTCTGAGTTCAAAATCAGCCTGGTTTACATAGTGAGCTCCAGGCCAGCTAAGCCTACTTAGTGAAACCCTGTTTCAAATATATATATTGCATATTTATGTAATAAAAGTTAAATATTTGGTGGCTGGATAAATGGCTCAGTGGTTAAGAGCACTGGCTGTTCTTCCAGAGACCTGAATTTGATTCCAAGCACCCACATGATGGCTCACAATTGACTGTAACTCCAGTTCTAGGGACAGCTGACACCCTCTCTTGCCTCCACAGGTACCAGGCACACAAGTGATATATAAATATACATGCAAGGCCAAACACCTGTATACATCAAATACAATAAATTTAAAAAAACAAAGCATCTGAGTATTTGGAAACAGAAAACTAGAAGCCAAGAACACATTTCTTCTTTTTAAAAATATTTTATTTATTATGTATACAGTGTTCTACCTGCATGTATGCCTGCAGGCCAGAAGAGAACACTAGATCTCCTTATAGATGGTTGTGAGCCACCATGTGGTTGCTGGGAATTGAACTCATGACCTCTGGAAGAACAGTCAGTGCTCTTAACCTCTGAGCCATCTCTCCAACCCCAAGAAACATTTTTTAAAGTTAAATATTTAACAGCCAAACCTGGCAACCACACAGGGAAATGGGCATTTATATACTAGTTGAGGAATTGAAAATTGGTGCAAACACCTTTGAGAGTAATTTTGCAATGTCTGCCACTGGCCTTAGGAATTTACCCCTGGACATATTTTCAAAACGTTCTCTTCTTACAGATACTAGATTGTTTCTGGTAGCATTGTAAACAAACAAAAAAAAAAAGATGGGTCTAACTCTTAACTGCTGTCAGTTTGTGCCTCAGATCCCTGTAGGAAGCTTAGCCCCAAGTGAGATAGCGAAGTGACAGAACTAGAGTGGACAGGGACCTGCGGGAAGGTAATTGGGTCACTGGGCTCCACCCTCTTGATGGAATAATGTTGCCTTGGGGGACAGGCAAGCCCCACAGAACTGAGTTCTTAGGCATACAAATTTCCACTCAGAGTGAGAAATATGAACTTTTAAGGAAATAAGATCTGGGCGTGGTGGCATCTGCCTGCAATCCCAGCACTCAGAGGCTGAGACAGGATTTCCGATTTGATGACATCCCCAGCTATACAGCATAGCCTGTTTCAAAACGATGAGATAGTTATGTTTAATTTGATTAAACATTATACAGTGTAGACACTTGTCATGTTTAAGGTGTCCTTTGGGTTAGAAGTGATCAAAGTTTCCTAGTGATACATTATAATGGATTTACCTTAGTTATGGTTTCTATTACTTTTATGAAACACCATTACTTAAAAAAAATTGGGAGGAAAAGGCTTTTTTGACTTATAATTCTACCTTGTAGCCCATCATTGGAGGAATTCAGGAGAACTCAGAGCAGGAACCTGAAGGCAGGAGCTGATGCAGAGGCCGTAGAAGCGTGCTGCTTACTGACTTGCTCTATATGGCTTGCTCAGCCTTCTTATAGAACCCAGGACTACCAGTCCAGGGGTGGCCCTACCCACAATGGGCTGGGTCCTTCCATATAAGTCTCTGATTAAGAAAATGCCCTGCAGGCTTGTCTACATCCTGGTCTTATGGAGGCAATTTCTCAGTTGAGGCTTCTGTGGTGGTTTGATAGAAAATGACCCCCAAAGGGAGTGGCGCTATTAGGAGGTCTGGTCTTGTTGGAGCAGGTATGGTCTTACTGGAGAAAGTGTGTCACTGAGGGGGTGGGCTTTGAGGTTTCTTTTCCTCAAGCTTTCCTACATGTGATTGTCTGCCAACATCCTGGTGTCTGTAGGATGTAGGACACTCGGCTATTTCTCCAGCACCATGCCTGTCTATGTACCACAATGCTCCCTGCCATGATGGACTGAACCTCTTAACTGTAAGTGAGCCCCCTCAATTAAATGTTTTCTTTATAAGAGTTGCCATGGTCATGTATGTCTTCACAGCAATAGTAAATCCTAACTAAGACAGCTTCCTCCTTTCAGATGACTCTAGTCTGTGTCAATTTGACATAAACTAGACAGCACACTCTTTTAGACTTCTTTATTTTGCTCAAAAACTTTAAGTTGTTGGCAAATATAATTGTATGTATTGTGCAAAGCAGTGTTTTGAAATTTGTAAACAGGGGAATGGCTAAATTAAGTTAATATATATTGTCTTTGTCATTAGTCATGGGCTGTGCTATACAACAGATGCCCTGAACCGTTCCTCTAAAATTCTATATTCTCTGACCAACATTCCTTCAACATACCTTCCCTCACCCATCTCCCAGTTTGAAAGAAAATGGCCCCCAAAAGGAGTGGTTTCCCTGGACCAGTTTCTCTCCCACTCGAGGGTCCCCAAAGCTGCTTATGAAATAATCACTCAGAGACTAATATTAAATATAATTGTTTGGCCAATGGCTCAGGCTTATTACTGGCTACCTCTCATTTATAAACCCATTTTTAATGATCCTACTAACTGGTGAAGTGCTTCTATGTCCCACCCCTATGGAGGCCCTATATGTACTAACTCCCTGAATTCCTGCTCCAGCATCTCAGTAGTACACATGATTCACCAGACAACTTTCCCAAGGTGATTCCCATTGATATAAGGTCAGTTGAGCCATTAGGGACTTTGTGCTGGATAGTTTTATATCAACTTGACACAAATTAAAGTTACCCTAAAGGAGGGAATCTCAGTTAATAAAATGCCTAAATACCCATTCACACCACAAGGACATTTGCTCAACTATGTTCATAGCAGTATTACTTGTAATAGTCAGATCTTGGAAACAGCATGGATGACCCTCAGTTGAAGAATGGATAAAGAAAATGTGGTATATTTACACAATGGAGTACTACTCAGTGGTAAGAAACAATGGTATACTAAAATTCAAAGGCAAATGGGCAGAACTAGATAAAACCATCCTAAGCAAGGTAACCTAAAACCAGAAAGACAAATATAGTGTGTAATCATAAGATACCAAAAATAAAGCAAAATATACTCAGCCTACAATCCATAACCCCAGAGAAGTTTGAACCCTTTTCCAGAAACAGATGGAAGCAGATGCAGAAAGCCACAACTAACCAATGGGTCAAGCTCCTGGAGTACAATCAAAGTGAGGGAGGAGCAAAAATATAAACAGAGGGGTCAAGGCCATGATGGGGAAACCCACAGAATCAGCTGATGAGAACTAGTGAGAGATCACTGACTCAGGTCTGACAAACTGGGAATTTGCATATGATCAAACTAGACTCCTTTAATGTAGGTGACAATGGTGTGACTGGGACAATATATGAGGCCACTGGCAGTGGGTCCAAGACCTAACACTATTGCACAAACTGACTTAGTGGAGCCCATTCTATATGGAGAGATACCTTGCCCAGCCTAGAAACAGGGTTGTGGGAGTGGAGAGGTCCCCTGGTCCTGCCTCAATGAGACGATGGGACAGACTTAGTAGACTTCCTATGCGAGGCCTTACCCTCTCCGTGGAGCAGATAGGAGGAGGGAGGAGTGGAGGGAGTAAGAGGAAAAGAGGGAGGGGGAACTGGGATTGGAATGTAAAAAATAAATTAATAAAAAAAGGAAATGCCTAAATAAGATGGGTCTATAGGAAAGTCAGCTGAGCAAGCCATGGGGAGCAAGCCAGTAAGCAGTACTACTCCGTGGCCTCTGCATTAGCTCCTTACTCCAGATTCCTGTCCTCCTTGAGTTCTTGTCCTGACTTCTTTGACAATGAACTGTGGTGCAGAAGCATAAGCTGAATGACCCCTTTCCTCCCCGAGTTGCTTTGGTCATGGTGTTTTTTCACAGCAATAGTATCCCTAAGACAGGCCTGCAAATACGAGCACTGCAAGCCTCATTTGCTGCCTGCACCCCACCCCATGCAGGAGAGGAAATGGAGGAACGTAGAGGTTGGAATCCCACCAGAGGCCATCGCATTGGCCCTTCCAATGAGTGAAGAGTAGCACTAGGAGGACCCAGGTTTGTTTCCCTGGATGCAAGGACCTGGACCTCAGGGCTCTTCACCAGTGTGTGTCTCTATGCCCAAGGCACATACAGAGACAGTCCCAGCAGGTATGGACATGGAGTGCATATCCTGGAATATTGGGGCCTGAGAACAGGCCAGAATGTGTTTGTGTGAGTGCAGGAGAATGTGGGACCCAGGGTGAAAGGGTCACCTTGTTCATGAGGACCAGCTAGTTCTGAGAATAGGCCCTGTTTTGCTATGGCACTCGGGCTACCTGACCAGGCAGTCCCCTCTGCCCTTGAGCCTCTGACTCCTGTCTATATTGGGCAGCTGAATTGGAGGAGAGATTCTTGTGGTCACAGGAGATGTGGGTCAGGGCATATGGGGATTTTGACATTAGGGATCACAGGATCCATTTATGACATTTTGCTAAAGATGATTTAATCCCAGGCTGTGAAGAATACTACCTGAAACCAGGAAAATGAGAGGAAATTCCAGCTGCCTTCCTCACTGGCCAGGGATTCTGATCCACTTTCCTCATCCGACACACAGGACAAAAGCCTGGATTTACCAATGGCTTTGAGAATTATGCACTTTACACAGATATCACTAACTGGCAACTGGGCTATGACTCATTGCTTTTATCATTATTGTGCTGACCTTTGATGGTTTTCCATTTTCGGAATGAAGGGGATGCTTCCTATGCTTTTACATTGGGCTGTAAATTGAAATTTGACTGTGATCTTTGCAGGAAACCTCACAGTGAGGAAATAAAATGGAAAACCTTGTTCCTTTTATGACAGAACAGAGACACCATAGCCTTGTTTCAGCAATGTACAGAAAGACAAGTCAGAGCAAGCTGGCTGGAAGAAAAGTTTCCAAAGAGCCTCATGGACTTCAAAAATTCTCCTTCAGCTCCAGAAACAAGTAAAAAGGAAACTAAGAAGAACCATTTTTAACCCAGCTGCGATTTCACAAAAGGGAAGAGATGGTAACTATGGGGATAGATGTGAGTTTGCTGAACATCTGCGTGCCAGACACAATTGCCCAATTTAGCCTTTTGGCCTCATTTCATGGATGAGAAAACCAAGGCTTGGAGAGGGGAGGCAACATTTTGAAGGCACATATCTGGAAAGAGCTGGGGCCAGGGAATTGTGGAGTGTTAATTATACAAAGTAAAATAATTCATTATGATATTTCCAGATGTGAGTGTGGACTTTGACCATAGTCATTCTCTCTATTTCTTTTTGTTTCGGTTTGCTTCTTGAGACAGATTGTTCTCTGTAGCTTTGGAACCTCTCCTGGAACTGGCTCTGTAGACCAGGCTGGCCTCAAACTCACAGAGATCCGCCTGCCTCTGTCTCCTGAGTGCTTGGATTAAAGGTGTGCACCACCACGGCTTGACTCCATTTCTTATTCCCCTTTTTACATCCTGGAAGATCCTTTTCACTTCAGAGCATCAATACAAATTTAAAAATGTATCTTTAATAAAGCAGCATTTTTTTATTTCTTTATTTTTATTTTTTGGGTTTTTTGAGACAGGATTTCTCTGTGGCTTTGGAGGCTGTCCTGGAACTAGCTCTTGTAGACCAGACTGGTCTCAAACTCACAGAGATCTACCTGCCTCTATCTCCCGAGTTCTGGGATTAAAGGCATGTGCCACCACCGCCTGGCTAGCAGTATTTTTTTTAAAGAATTGTTTTCGATATTCCATAAAATCCTTTCAGGAAAGCATTAAATATGTAAAATATTAAGAATATCTAAGCTGTTATATTTTGTATGTCTCTGAATTTGTCATTATTTCTACTACTCATAACATTTATAGGCTATTTTGTTGTTGTTGTTGTTTTTTGAGACAGGGATTCTTTGTGGCTTTGGAGGCTGTCCTGAAACTAGCTCTTGTAGACCAGGCTGGTCTCGAACTCAGAGATCCTCATGCCTCTGCCTCCCGTGTGCTGGCATTAAAGTCATGCACCACCAATGCCTGGTCGTTTATAGGCTATTTAAAAAGTGTTTTCTCTACGAGGACATTCAACCGTGAATGGAAAGAATGGCATGAAAGGACAGAGAATTGCACTACTAATAATTACTATCATAACAAATAATTAGATTTAGGGGAGACTTTCAGAACAAAAGAGAAACATAATGTTATGTGTATCCTTTGATAAAATGGAAAACAGCTGTTCTTTTTATTGACATTTCCTTAAAAATACATTTTATTGGCACTAAAATCCATTTGGTAAACATTCCATTAAATCCTCATATAAGGGAAACTCTTTTGCTTTCATTTTTTTTAAATTCATGCATGTGAACCATATTTACATAATTTCCATATTTATGTGTCTCCTTGAATTCGTGGCCTCTTTTTCTTTAATTATTATTGTTACATATTGCAGGAGTGTATCTTCTAGGAAGCTCTTGCCTGTGAACTCTACAATATGGTTGCCTAGACAAGATCTTGATGATGAGAACACCAGTCGAAGGGGGAACTCTCATAAGGTCCCTAGATGAAGAGTTAGAGGCAGTTAATGACTGCCAGGGAGGGAAAAATCTAGTGTTCTCCAGTAATGAGCACTCAGATGGATTATTTTACTCCAAGTGGTCAGCCCTAAAAACATATGCATGTGAGTAACACTAAACAGATTCAGAAGCTTGTATTTACACACACACACACACACACGGTTTTTCGAGACAGGGTTTCTCTGTATTGTTTTGGAGGCTGTCCTGGAACTTGCTCTCTAGACCAGGCTGGCTTCAAACTCACAGAGATCCACCTGCCTCTGCCTCTCGAGTGCTGGGATTAAAGGCGTGCACCACCAATGCCCGGTGGTATGTGCATAAATATTAATTAAAGAGGGAAACTCTCTTTTAAAAAATGAGTTAGCTTTCTCACGGCCTATCATACAGGTGTGAGGCATTATTCTAAGCACTGTGCATATGGTAACCTCATTGGAGGTAGGTTACATTTAGGAGTTGTAAAGAAGAACCATGCTGGATAGGTTGTCTGGGCCCATATAACTGCTTGTCTGTGCTTAGTGGACAACCCAGAATGTCACCCCAGGATTCTGGTCTCATCGATGTTGAGAGCATGCTGTGACAACAGTCTTTATCTCTAAATGTTTGTATGTCAATAATAACAGAGGATTTCAAACCAGTCTATTTATGGTGATAATTGATAACAATAATGTCTGGACCTTCCGAGACTTCCTGAGAATAAAGACTATACCTACTTTGGGAACTCCACTTAAATAAATTAGATTTTCTTCTGAAGAAAGTGTTGACTGGGCATAATTCATGTGTTCAGCTATTTATTTGTGCCCTGACACTTACTCAGTGACACTGTGAGAACTTTAGACTTCGTTTTCTGTACTAGAATGCCAACATTTCTTTTTCCTTTTCTATCACAAATAAGTGAATTCCCTCTTTAGAACCTAAACAGCTGTACAACTGACACATCTGGAATTCTGGAGAACCTTGAAATATATAGCTCTTCATGATGGGGGCATGAAATTTATTCCAAGTCACTTAAGGTTTTCAGGAAACCATCATTGCAATTCCCCTTGCTCCTCTGGGAAAACTGCGGCTTGGGGTGTGCTCGCTTGCCACCTCAGGTTGGAGTGCGCTTCTGCCTGAAGTGATTACATTGTTCTTTCCCACAATGGCATTTGGGAGAAACGGACTGTACCTGCCTTCTATGCCTGCTGCTGCCTGGGGCCCAGAGGCCTCTGGGTAAAGAAGTGGGCGGGCACTGCACCAGGCAGCAACGGTCTCTGGGTAAAGCAGTTGGCGGGCCTTACACTTGAGTGCAAAGGCCTCTGGGTGAAGCAGTTGACAAGCGTTGCTGTTGGCGCAAAAAACTCTGGATGAAGCAGTTGGTGGGCGGTGCTACCGCTGGGGCATGGAGGACTTTGGTGAAGCTCGAAGCCGAGGGCTCTGAGACGTTGTTATTTCAGGTGAAAAGGGGTTAAATACAGTAAATGAATAAGATATTTAATTATTTTCTACCTAATACAAGTATTCGCTTCAGGGGAACTTTATTTATTTATTTACTTTTGTAATGTGCACTTCCCAGATGCACTCTTTAACATATATATATATGTATGTTACATATGTACATACATATATATAATTTTAAATTTTAGATTAGAAACAAGATTGCTTCACATGTCAATTCCAGGTCCCTCTCTGTTTCCCTCCCCTCCTCCCCTGCGCTCCCACCAACCCCCCCAAATATCCCCTCATTTCCCCTGGGAGGGTGTCACCCTCCCTGGGCGTGTCCATAGTCTGTCATTTCATCCAGGACAGGGCCTAGACCCTCCCCCAACAGTTCAGGGTGAGAGGTCATCTCTCATTGTTGGATGGGAGTCCAAAGTCCATTTGTATACCCGGGATAAAAACTGATCTACTGCCCAAGGCTCAATAGATTACCTAGGCCTCCTCACTGACACCCACTTTCATGGGGTCTTGATCAGTCCCATGCTGGATTCCCAGGCATCAGCCTGGGATTCAAGAGCTAACCCTTGTCAGGTCAGCTATTTCTGAGAGTTAAACCAGCCCAGTCTTAATCCCTTTGTCATCAGTCCTCCCTCTCTGTCACTGGATTTCTTGAGTTCAGCTCAGTGCTTAGCTGTATGAGTCTGTCTTTGCTTCCATCAGCCACTGAATGAAGGTTCTGTTTCCCAGACTCTGGCCATGGAATTGTAGGCTGGCACTCCCCAGATCTAGGTCTAAAACCCATATATCAGAGAGTACATGCCATGTTTCTCTTTTTGTGACTGGGTTACCTCACTCAGGATGGCTTCTTCTAGTGCCATCCATTTGCCTGCAAATTTTAGGATTCCATTGTTTTTTTTTTTCTGCTGCTGAATAGTACTCCATTGTGTAACTGCACCGCATTTCCTCTATCCACTCGGTTGAGGGGCATCTAGGTTGCTTCCCAGTTCTGGCAAATAATGCTGCTGTGAACATAGTGGAACAGATATCCTTGTTGTATGAGTGTGCATCTTTTGGATATATGCCTAAGAGTAGAGTTGCTGGGTCTTGTGGTAGGTGTATTCCCATTTTTCTGAGGAATCTCCATACTGATTTCCAAAGTGGCTGTACAAGTTGGCACTCCCACCAACAATGGAGGAGTGTGCCCCTTTTACCACATCCTCTCCAGCATAAATTGTTGTTGGTGTTTTTGATTTTAGCCATTCTGACAGGAGTGAGATGGTATCTCAGAGTTGTTTTGATTTGCATTTCCCTGATGGCACTTTCTCAAGTGCCTCTCAGCCATTTTAGACTCCTCTACTGAAAATTCTCTATTTAGTTCTGTAGCCCACTTTTTAATGGGATCCTTTGGTGTTTTGGAGACTTGCTTCTTGAGTTCTTTGTAAATTTTGGAGATCAGCCCTCTCTGTCAGATGTGGAGTTAGTGAATATTTTTTCCCATTCTGTGGGCTGCCTTTTTGTCTTGTTGACTGTGTCCTTTGCCTTACAGAAGTTTCTCAGTTTCAGTAGGTCCCATTTATTAATTGTTGATCTCAGTGTCTGTGCTACTGGTGATATGTTCAGGAAGCTGTCTCCTGTACCAATTCGTTCCAAGAGGTTCAGTGTGGCTGGATTTATGTTGAGGTCTTTGATCCATTTGGACTTAAATTTTGTGCATGGCGATAGGCATGGATCGATCTGCATTGTTCTACATGCCAGCATCCAGTTATGCCAGCACCATTTGTTGAAGATGCTTTCTTTTTTCCATTGTATATTTTTAGCTTCTTTGTCAAACATCAGATGTTCATACATGTGTGGGTTAATATCAGGGTTTTCAATTTTATTCCATTGGTCTACCTGTCTATTTTTGTGCCAATACCAAGCTGTTTTCAGGACTATAGCTCTATAATAGAGCTTGAGGTCAGGGATGGTTGCCTTGTTGAACAGGGTTGTTTTGGCTATCCTGGGTCTTTTGTTTTTCCATACAAAATTGATTATTGTTCTTTCAAGGTCTGTGAAGAATTGTGCTGGGATTTTAATGGGGATTGCATTGAATCTGTAGATTGCTTTTGGCAGGATTGCCATTTTTACTACATTGATTCTACCTATCCAAGAGCATGGGAGATCTTTCCATTTTCTGAGGGCTTCTTTAATTTCTTTCTTTAAAAACTCAAAGTTCTTGCTATACAGGTCTTTCACTTGTTTGGTTAGCATTACCCCAAGGTATTTTATGTTGTTTGTGGCTATTGTAAAGGGTGATGTTTCTCTGATTTCTTTCTTAGCCCTTTTATCATCTGTATATGGTAGGGCTACTGATTTTCTTGAGTTGATCTTGGATCCTGCCACTTTGCTGAAGGTGTTAATCAGCTGTAAGAGTTCCCTGGTAGAGTTCTTTGGGTCATTTATGTAAACTATCATATCATCTGCAAATAGTGAAAGTTTGACCTCTTCCTTTCCAATTTATATCCCCTTGATCTCCTTTTGTTGTTGTATGGCTCTGGCTAGAACTTCAAGTACAATATTGAAAAGTTATGGAGAGAGTGGACAGCCTTGTCTTGTTCCTTATTTTAGCGGAATTGCGTTGAGTTTCTGTCCATTTAATTTGATGTTGGCTGTTGGTTTGCTGTATATAGCTTTTATTATGTTTAGGTATGTTCCTGTTATCCCAGATCTCTCCAAGACCTTTATCATGAAGGGGTGCTGGATTTTGTCAAAAGCTTTTCCAGCATCTAGTGAGATGTTCATGTGTTTTTGTTTATATGGTAGATTACATTGATGGATTTTCGTATGTTGAACCATCCCTGCATCCCTGTGATGAAACCTACTTGATCGTGGTGGATTATTTTTTTTGATGTGTCCTTGGATTGGATTTGCCAGTATTTTATTGAGTATTTTTGCATCAATGTTCATGAGGGATATTGGTCTGAAGTTCTCTTTCTTAGTTGTGTCTTTGTGTGGCTTGGGGATCAAGGTTATTGAAGCCTCATAGAAAGAGTTTGGCAAAGACCCTTCTGCTTCTATTGTGTGGAATACTTTGAGAAGAATTGGTATAAGCTGTTCTTGAATTTCTGGTAGAATTCTGCACTGAGGCCATCTGGACCTGGGCTTTTTTTGATTGGGAGACTTTTGATGACTGCTTCTAGTTCCATAGGGGTTATAGGTCTATTTAAGTTGCTTATCTGTTCTTGATTTAATTTTGGCAAGTGATAGCTATCCAGGAAGTCATCCATTTCCTTTAAATTTTCGAATTCTGTGGAGTACAGGTTTTCAAAGTATGACCTGATGATTCTCTGAATTTCCTCAGAGTCCATTGTTATGTCCCCCATTTTATTTCTGATTTTGTTAATTTGCATGTTCACACTCTGCTGTTTGGTAAGTTAGGACAAAGGTTTGTCTATCTTGTTGATTTTCTCAAAGAACCAACTCTTCGTTGCATTGATTCTTTGTATTGTTTTCCTAGTTTCTACTTTATTGATTTCAGCCCTCAATTTGATTATTTCCTGGCATCTACTCCTCCTGGGGGAGTCTGCTTCTTTGTGTTCTAGAGCTTTCAGCTGTGCTGTTAATTCTCTAGTATAACTATTCTCCAGTTTCTTCATGTGGGCACTTAGTGCTATGAACTTCCCCCGGAACACTGCTTTCAAAGTGCCCCATAGGTTTGTGTATGCTGTGTCTTCGTTCTCATTGAATTCTAGGAAGTCTTTAATTTCTTTTTTATTTCTTCTTTGACCCAGGAATGGTGCAGTTGTGCATTATTCAATTTCCATGAGTTTGTAGGTTTTCTGCAATTTGTGTTGTTGTTGAATTCTAATTTTAACGCATGGTGGTCTGATAAGATTCATGGAGTTATTCCAATTGTTTTGTAGCTGCTGAGGTTTGATATGTTGCCAAATATGTGGTCAATTTTTGAGAAGGTTCCATGTGGTGGTGAGAAGAAGTTATATTCTTTTTTATGTGGATGAAATGTTCTATAGATGTCTGTTAATCCCAGTTGGGTCATTACTTCTATTAGACCCTTTGCTTCTTTGTTGAGTTTCTGTCTGGTATTCCTGTCTAGTGGTGAGAGTGGGTTGTTGAAATCTCCCACTATAAGTGTGTGGGGCTTTATATGTGATTTAAGTTTTAGTAATGTTTCTTTTACGTGGATGCCTTTGTATTTGGGACATAGATGCTCAGAATAGAAACTTCATCTTGGTGGATTTCACCTGTGATGAGTATGTAATGACCTCCTTCATCTCTTTTGATTGATTTTATTTTAAAGTCTAATTTGTTAGATATTAGGATTGCTACCCCTGCTTGTTTCTTGGGTCCATTTGATTGGAAAATCTTTTCCCAACCTTTAACTCTCAGGTAATATCTGTCTTTGAGGGTGAGGTGTGTTTCTTGTATGCAACAGAAGGATGGGTTCTGTCTTTGAATCCATTCTGTTAGCCTGTGTCTTTTTATGGGTGAGTTAAGGCCATTAATATTGAGGGATATTAATGACCATTGATTGCTCATTCTTCTTTGATTTGAAATGGTTGTTGCTGGTGGAATTATGTGTGGAATTCCACCCCTTTGTTCTTTTGGCTGTTGGTAAAGTGGGATTATCTACTCTTTTTTTTCTGTTTTTGTTTTTCTTTCCCTCAGAGCAGAGGATCGAACCCAGGGCCTTGCACTTGCTAGGCAAGCGCTGTATCACTGAGCTAAATCCCCAACCTAAGTGAGATTATCTAATGCCTATGTTTTTTGGTTGTAGTTAACTTCCTTGGGTTGGAGTTTTCCTTCCAGAACTTTCTGTAGGGTTGGGTTAGGGGATACGTATTGCTTGACTCTAGTTTTGTCATGGAATATCTTGTTTTCTCCATCTATAGTGATTGAGAGTGTTGCTGAGTATAATTGTCTGGGCTGGCATCCATGGTCTCTTAGTGTTGGTTGAATATCTATCCAGGACCTCCTGGCTTTCATAGTTTCTATGGAGAAGTCAGGTGTAATCCTGATAGGTTTGCCTTTATATGTTACTTGGCCTTTTTCCTTAGCTGCTCTTAATATTCTTTCTTTATTCTGTATATTTGGGGTCTTGATCATTATGTGGCAAGGGGACTTTTTTTTGTGATCCACTCTATTTGGTGTTCTGTAAGCTTCTTGCACCTTCATTGGCATGTCTTTCTTTAGGTTGGGAAAGTTTTCTTCTATGATTTTGTTGAATATGTTTTCTGCCCCTTTGAGGTGGTTTTCTTCACCTTCTATACCTGTTATTCTTAGGTTTGGTCTTTTCATGGTGTCCCATATTTCCTGGATGTTTTGTGTTAAGGATTTGTTGGACTTAATATTTTCTTTGGTTGATGAATCCATTTCTCCTAGTGTATCTTCGACACCTGAGATTCTCTCTTCCATCTCTTGTATTCTGTTGGTAATGCTTGTATCAGTAGTACCTGACCATTTGCCCAGCTTTTCTATTTCCAGCCTTTCTTCATATTGTGTGTTTTTTTTAATTGTCTCTATTGCAGTTTTCAACCCTTGCACTGTTTGAATTGTTTCTTGCAATTTTCGGTTTATCTTTTCATCCATTTGTTGCATTTTATGAATTTTTTGGTTTGCTTTTTCTTCCATTTCTTGCATTTTTTGGTTTGCTTTTTCTTCCATTTCTTGCATTTTTTGGTTTGCTTTTTTTCCAGTTCTTGTATTTTTCATTTGTTTTTTTTCTTCCATTTCTTGCATTTTTGGTTTGTTTTTTCTTCCATTTCTTGCACTTTTTGGTTTGTTTTTTTCATCCATTTCTTTGAGGGATTTTCCTATATCCTCTTTTAGGGCCTCTATCATTTTCATGGAGTTGTTTTTAAGGTCATTCTCTTCTGCTTCGTTTGCATTAGAATGTTGGAGTCTTGCTGGTGTGGAGTCTCTAGAATCTGGCAGTATCATATTTGTTTTTCTGTTGCTGGGTGTGTTTTTGTATTGTCTCTTTCCCATCTCTTCTTCTAGTGGGTGCAAAAAGAGCCCCTTAGTGGTCTGGTGGTTAGGGGACCAGAGTTCCTTTTTGGTGGGTGCTAGCAAGTCCAATACTCTGGTAGTTCTTCTATTCCTTGTCCTAGTTTTGGTCCTGTGGGGGAGAAGAAGACCAGGAATCTGGGGTGCTTAGCCTCCCACCTGGTCCCCTGGTCCCTTTGGTGGAAGAGAAGACTTGGGATCTGGGCTGCTCCTGGCGGGATGGGAAGCTCTGTGGTAGTTCCCAGGCAAACCCCAGGCACTGGAATGCAGGCCCGGATGCAGGGCCTGTTTTACCTGGTCCTGCCAGACCAGCTGGCCCCCTGATTACCTTGGTGAAAGAGAAGACCTGGGATCTGGGGTGCTTGGCTCCTGCTGGGATGGGAAGCTCTGTGGCCATCCCAGTTACTGGAAGGCACGCTGGGATGCGGGGGCCTTGTTTACCTCCACTCTTTAGTTTCTTAAACTAATTGTAGTTTATATACAGTGTAGTTCAGTCTCCTTTACTTACTTGATTACTACTCCTTTACTAACAGCTTTGCCTGCCTGCTATATTTTTGTACCTATCTGAAGCCAGTTACCTCATGTTTTTTAAAGATCTCTGTATTACTGAAGGACATCCCAGCAATTGAATCTTGTTTTCCCAGGAGTCATTTCCATGACAGAAGTATGATGGAGCACAGGGAGGAAGAGACAGGGTGAGATTCCTAGGACTGCTGTAACAAACTTGGTGTTGTCTCACAGACTGGTGTTTAAGATTCTAAAATCAAGGTCTTCTCAGAGTGGGTACTCTGCAATGTCTTAGAGAGTGTGTACCTTCCTCTTAGCTTCAGATGTTGCTAGGCAATCCCAGGTGTTCCTTGGTTGGTAGACTCATGCTACACCTTCTGCCTGTCTTTCCATAAAACTCTGTTTTTCACTTTGTATATGAAAGTCACTGGATTAGAGCCCACATGGACTCAACATAATTGCATCTGCAAAGATCCATATTAGGGTTTGAATCTTTGAAATGTCCCCCATGAACTCATGTTTTGAATTCTTGCTTGATCTCTCCAGCCTTGCTATTTTGAGAGATTCTGGAAACTTCCAGATAAGGGAGGGTGGCTCTTATTGGTTATGACCTATGAAAACATCTTATAGACTGCCTCTGCCTCTTAAACCACTGCAAGAGTGTGAACCCCTGTTGTCTACTACACTCAACTGCCACCATGGCCTTGTGCTCAAGTTCATGTAGCCAAATAAGTGTGAACAATGATATAGGAAGTCAAAATAGTTAAGTCATCACTTTTTGTTACTTTTATCAGGAATTCATCCCAACTGCAAAATAACTAATACAACCCTAATTCTAAACAAGGTTGCATTAGGGCTTAACACATATTTTTAGAAGTGTGCAATTCAACTCACAAAAAATCATATAGCTCTTGTAGCTTTTCTTATAAAAATACTTTGGATCTATGTAAGTTGATAAAATGCTCTTGGTTTCCAGAATGAAGTCCTGAGTCTGATCCCCAACATCTATGAAAAAGACTGGGTGTGGCAGTTTGTGCTGGTTATCCTGGTCCAGGGGAGAGGGGTCCGTCTGGCTAGCCAGTCTAGCTGAGTTAGTGATCTCCAGGTGCCAGTGAGAGAGACTGCCACAGAAGTCAAGGTGGGCAATAACAAGGTGAGTGGCTCCTGGAAAACAACACCCGAGACTGACCTTTGGTCTTTGCCAGCGCACAAGCCTGCAAACTTCCTGCTTCCCAGTAATTTCCTTTATTCTCAGTTCACATCTGACTTTAAATTCCATCATGTATTTACTTTCTTTTTTTACTTAAGTAAATGTATTTTGCATCCTGGAACAGTTTCTCCTCCCTCCTCTCCTCCAAGCTTCTCCCCCACCTCTGTTCCCAACCCCCAATTCACTCCTCATTGGTTTTTGTTTAGGAAAGGGCAGGTCTCCCATGAGTATCAACAAAACATGGCATATCAAGTTGCAATAAGACTAAGCACCTCTCTATGTATTAGGGCTGGGCAGGGCCAACCCAGAATGAATAAGTCCCCAAAGCCAGTAAAAGAATCGGAGACAGCCCCTGATCCCACTGTTAATAGACCCCCAAGAGGACCAACTTGCACAACTGTAGCATATATGCAGGGTGCCTAGGTCAGGCCAATGCCAGCTCCCTGGTTGTAGGTTCAGCCAGTGAGCCCCTGTGACCCCAGGTTAGTTGATTCTGTGAATTGTCTTGTGGTGTCCTTTTCCCCTCTGGCTCCTACAATCCTTTCTCTTCTTCCACAGGATTCCCTGACCTCCACCTAATGGGTGGGTCACTGCATCTGTTTCCATCAGTTTCTGAATGAAGCCTCTCTCATGACAATTGACCTAGGCACTAATCTATGTGTATAGAAGAATAACGTTAGGCATCATAACACTTTTTTTTCTCCCCAGTTGTGTTTGGTTAGGTCTCTGTACCATCCAGCCCGTGGGTCCTGGTGCTCCAGGCAGTGTCAAAGGTGGGCTTGCTCTCCTGGCATGGGTTTTAGACTAGACCAGTAATTGATTGGCCAGTCCCTCAATCTCTAGGCTGCCATTACCCAAGCACATCCCACAGGCAGGACAGATGGTAGGTCAAAGGTTATGTGGCTGGGTTGGTTTCTCACTCCTTTCACTTGACGTCTCTCATCACTGGAGATGGCCAGTTCAGGCTACCTAGTCACTATTGCTAAGAGTCTTATCTGGGGCTATCCTTGTTTATTCCTGGGAGAGTCCCTTGCACCAGGTTTTGAGCTGACTGGGAAGCACCCCCCCCTTTTCAGTAATCTCTCCCTCCATCCCCTGCTCCAACCTGATATATATATATGCATATATATATACTTTTTAAAATGATTTTTTGTGTGGGTATTTACATATGTGCACCACAGTGTGCTTAGTGCCTACAGAGGTCAGATCCCCTGGAACTGGAGTCACAGATGATTGTGAATCACTGTGTGGGTGCTGAGAACTGAACTCTACTCCTCTGCAAGAGCAGCAAGTGCTCCTTACTGCTGCTGAGCCATTTCTATAGACCCTATTACTGTTTTTAATTGAGTGTAATTAATGCTGTCCACATATGCATGAGTGTGGGTTCATCCCCTGTAGCATGGTCAACCTACAATTGGCCACACTCCTAAAGAAAACTGACTCCTTGTCTCCTAGAAGATATCAACTGTAAATTGTTCCTCAGGGTAGAGGTTCATGTGCCCCATCTGTGCCTGTGTGTGAGTGTATGTGTATGTATTCAAATGAGCTTCCTAAAGAGACATAAGCTAGAGGCTAATATAGCCTTGGGCACCTTAAACAGTAATTTCACCACTGAAGAAAATGTATTTCCTTCTCTTAGAACCTCTAACTACTTATAAATCCTCAGGGCCTATTGTGGCCCCCTGAGCCTTTCCATTTAGCAACTATTAATTGCCTATGAATCTTCAGGAAGAGGTAGGGAATAGTCTCTCCACGATAGGATGTTGGTGTGCTCAACCATGTGCATGCCATAGCAGTTGCTGTGAGTTCAGTGGTGCCACAACCACGTATGCCTGGAAGACAGTTTTGCACAACACTCAACTCAGTCCCCTGGTCAATTTCTTAAAAACGTCTTCAGCTATCACCAGTAATGTTTTCCTTCATGTTGAAATTCCTCCAGAGTTAGTCTTGTGATTCACCATCTTCATAGCAATAATTCATCCATAACTTTAATCTGAAATCTTTTCCATTATGTCCCCTTTCACATATACAAAATTTGTGTATATCCTATAGTAAATATATCAACATTTGAAAACTGAACAATTGGGTAAAAAAATAAGATTTGTAGGTGTGTTAAAATTCCAGCTTTAACCTTAGCCCTTACTAGTTGACTGCCTGACTTCTGTAGATGTGATTTAATCACACATAAAATGGAAATATATAAAAGGGAATAATTAGATGAAAATAGATGGATCTTTCATTATTCTGGTTATCATTCTTAGATCTAAGTAACTTGGTATAGTTTACATTGTTTTAAATAAATGCAAATCAAAATAATCAAAAGCATAATCATAGTCTCAAGAAGTCACTTGATATACTCTGAGAAAATTGCTGAGCTATCAAAACAATACAAAGATACAGTACGTAAATTTAATCAGAATAGCATTTTTGTTGACTAATTAAATGGTATAGGGCTTTCTTTTGAACCTTTCATGTTTTATTTACAAGGAGGGATTAAACTTTTCATCTATAATTTGGAAGCAAAGTTCATGACAAGATGATAAAACATGTATCACTCACTAGCAATCACTTTAGGAGAAGCTTGGAGCAATTGTCCTACTATCTGGATCCACCGGAGAACTCACTGAGTGATGTGCTTTACCGTGATCTCTAGGGAGACAAAGGATGAAAACAACAGAAGTGAAATAACTGGAAGATGACAAGCTCCTGAAGATGGTGAGACACCAGATGGGTCCCATGCTGCAGGAGTTCCCCTAATGGTACCAGATCTGGTAATTCTGTAGCAGCTACACAGGATTCAGTACACAGTTACATCTGGATAAGATGTATTACAAAGCCCTGGAGGGTGGGTACATCTGAGGGAAGGAGAGTCAAGCCTACCAGGTCTCCTCCAGAGTCACACAGAATATGTCTAATTTCTCTGACAGTGAGTTGTGACAACATATGGCGATAGTTGAACCTGTGAAGAACATTAGAAAGAAATGCAGTGCTCTGAGTTTATTGGAAATCTGCCACATAGTTGTCCTGTTCATAGTAGGCACCAATAATCCAGACTCACACAGAAGCAGGTACTCAATGTAAGCCACATTGATTGTGCACACAGCTTAAGGTGTGAATCACTCTTATGAGTTAAGTGCTTTGAGCATTCGTGGACAAAACGGGTAGTCCTGAGTATCCCTTCATTGCTAGGAAATGGGTGAAGATCACTGTCTTTGGCATCTTCTGATAAATGATCAACAAGAGATGGAAGCTTGTTTATGGTGCTGGCAAAATAAATCTGAATGCTAACAAGTCATGGCAGACTGATTTAAGTTTATATTTTGTTAAATACAATTTCAAACTATGAATTCATTTCATTTGCTTTGCTCTCTTTTATAGGTTTCTATGGTGGAAGAAAGTATGGATTTAGCAGTAAAAATTGAGACAAATCATGAAGCTTTGCTTTTTCATCTGTAAGTATTTTAAGTCTAATGCAGAAGACATGGAAGTGAAAATATGCATGATTTCCTTTTTGAGCTGTGTATATAGTCAGAATGGATTTCTAACCATGGAAATGATTTCCTTAGGAATCTAACCAGCTCATTTGTCTGTCCTCTACCAATGCTTATCTCAGCGTTGAATCAAGGCATGTCTGTATCAGAGTGTATGTGTGTACAGTAGAAAAACATTTTACATGGATGTAAAAAGCTACAGTAAGAACTGTAAAAGGTGTCTATATAATATTGTCTCTATAGAAAAATTCAAATGTGAAGAGCAGAAAATAAAAGGCTTGCACCTCCCTACTTACCAGGGTAATTAACTCACATTGTAGTAGAGGTTAAATCCATTGTAACAAGACCAAAACAAGTGTTTCTCCATTATAATCTGTAAGCTCAGAATTACAGGGTAAAGATCATATCAGGTTTAAAAAAATACATAATCTACACAGAATACCCTAAGACAAGGGAATCCAGTTATCAGCTGTTGAAGGCTTCCATGCTGTTTACAGAAAAAAATGAGTTGACATAACTATAAATAAAATATATTTAGTTTATACAGTAAAAAATCACACATTATAAAGTGAGCAAACAGTCACATTGAAAAACAGATTCGTTAAAATGATTACATCTTACACAACACACACAGTATTTTGCATGTAAAATTATGTGGTTTCAGCAAGGAAAAAAATGTGTTTTTCATTTGTATAGCAGATCTTCTAAGCTGAAGTATCCGGTGTCCAAGTTTCCAGGCAACATAATTAATGTCTTTTCAAAGTACACAAAATTATTAGTGTCCTCATCACAGTCTGAAGGGCATTTTGTTTTATTTTTGCCTCAGAAATAAATTTTTAAGGTTTTATTTTTAATTATGCATTTACTTGTGGGTATGTGCAGTTGCCCAAGAAGGCCAGGAGAGGGCAGGGATTCCCTGGAGGTGGAGTTACAGGCACTTGTAAGCCTCAAACTCGGGTCCTTTGAAAGAGCAGCAAGTGTTCTACTGTTGAGCTGTCTCTTCAGCCCCTGGTGGCACATTTGAAATGGGTGAAAAGTCATGGTACAGTGAAACATTAAACAACTTAGTGGTACATTTTTATTATGAAAATGATCCTTGGTAGTTTATGGGGGAGCCTGCTGTAAGGTGTCTGGTAAAGAAGACCTTGCATCATGACACATGCAATCAGGGGCCCCACAGTGTTTGCTCACCAGAGGAACCCTGAAATGGGAAATTTTTTAGTCATTTACAAGTATTCAAACCTATCCCCTTTTTCCAGTCAGTTTTGTGTTTCACTGTGTGTCACCTTAGGTCCGGACAGTGTCCTTGTGCAGTGGGCACCGTGCTCCTTTGTAGCGGCTGCTTGTCTTTAGCTCTATGGTGGGTGCAGGGGGAGGGTGGGGGTAGGGGGAGGGTGGGGTGGGAGAGGGTGGGGGCAGGGGGAGGGTGGGGGCAGGGGGAGAGTGGGTGCAGGGGGAGGGTGGGGTGGGGGAGGGTGGGGGCAGGGGGAGAGTGGGTGCAGGGGGAGAGTGGGGGCAGGGGGAGGGTGGGGGCAGGGGGAGAGTGGGTGCAGGGGGAGGGTGGGGTGGGGGAGGGTGGGGGCAGGGGGAGAGTGGGTGCAGGGGGAGAGTGGGTGCAGGGGGAGGGTGGGGGCAGTGGGAGGGTGGGGGCAGGGGGAGGGCGGATGCAGAGCTTTTGTCCTCCAGGGCTGCAGCATCTCCACCTCCCCCAAGCCTTGCACTTCTTGCCATTGTAGAATTTCCTGAGGTTTTCCCTCTGGGTCAGTGTGGTATTTGAATGTACCTGGCCCCATAAGCTCATACAAAGTGGTACTGTTGGGAGGTGTGACTTTGTAGGGATAGGTATGGCCTTGTTGGAGGAAGTGTGTCACTGTGGGGGTGGGCTTTGAGATCTCATATATGCTCAAGCCATCCCCGGTCTACTCAGTCCGCTTCTTGTTGCCTTCTGATCAGGATGCAGCCAGCACCATATTTGCCATGGTCCTGGCCATGACGATAATGGGCTGAACCTCTGAAATGTAAGCTGCCACCTCAATAAATGTTTTCCTAACAAGAGTTGCCATGATCATGGTGTCTCTTCACAACAATAGAAACTAACTAAGACAGTTGGGTTAACATGGGAAATAGAATTGCTGACATCTTGGATCTTGGGGAGATTGGCAGGGACCTTTGTCACATTTTCTTTATTTAAATTAGAAAGAAGCTTGCTTCACATGTCAATCCCAGTTGTCTCTCCCCCCCCGCTCCTCCCCACCACCCACCAGGCCCCCAACACCTGACCCAATCCCCACTCCACTCCGCAGGGAGGGTGAGGCCCTCCATGGGGGATCTCCAAAGTCTGTCATATTCAGGGCAGGGCCTAGGCCCTCCCCCATGTGTTCAGGCTGAGAGAACATCCTTCCATGTGGAATGGGCTCCAAAAGTCCATTTGTATGCCAAGGATAAACACTGATCTACTACCCAAGGCCCCATAGATTGCCAAGGCCTCCTCAGTGACACCCAAATTTAGGGGGTCTGGATAAGTCCTATGCTGGCCTCTCAGTCATCAGTCTGGGGTTCATGAGCTCCCCCTTGTCCAGGTCAGCTCTTTCTTGACCCCTTTGCTCATCACTCCTCCCTCTCTGCAACTGGGTTCCAGGAGTTCAGTTCAGTGTTTAGCTGTGGGTGTCTGCCTCTGCTTCCATCAGTCACTGGATGAAGGCTCTAGGATGGCATATAAGGTAATCATCAACCTCATTGTTGGGGAGGGGCATTTAAGGCAGCCTCTCCCCTATTGCTTAGATTGCTAGCTGGTGTCATCCTTGTAGACCTCTGGAAATCTCTCTAGTGGCAGATCTCTCCTCAAACCCACAATGACTCTGTCTATTATGGTATCTCTCACCCTGCTCTCCTCTATTCTTCCCCTGACTCAACCTTCCTGCTCCCACATGTCCTCTTCCCCCCCTTTCCCTCTCTCTTTCTCCCTGCTCCCTCTCCCCTCCCCCATGCTCCCAATCCCATTCTCCTTCTCTGGGTTACCATGCATATCTTTCTTAGGGTCCTCACTGTTTCCCAGACTCTCTCCAAATGGAATTGTAGGCTGGCAATCCCCTGCTCCATGACAAAAATCCATATATGAGTAATACCATGTTTGTCTTTTGTGACTGGGCTACCTCACTCAGGATGGTTTCTTCTAGTGTCATCCATTTGCCTGCAAATTTCAAGATTCCATTGTTTTTTTCTGCTGAGTAGTACTCCATTGTGTAAATGTACCACATTTTCTCTATTCACTCTTCAGTTGAGGGGCATCTAGGTTGCTTCCAGGTTCTGGCTATTACAAATAATGCTGCTATGAACACAATGGAACTGATGTCCTTGCTGTATGAATGCATACCTTTTGGGTATATGCTTAAGAGTGGAATTGCTGGATCCACTCTTAATGGTAGACTGATACCCATTTTCCAGAGGAATCTTCATACTGATTTCCAAAGTGACTGTACAAGTTGGCACTCCCACCAGCAGTGGAGGAGTGTCCCCCTTTCTCGACATCCTCTCCAGCATAAACTGTCAGTATTTTTCATTTTACTCATTCTAACAGGAGTAAGATGGTATCTCAGAGTTGTTTTGATTTGCATTTCCCTGATGACTAAGGATGTTGAGCACTTTTTAAATTGTCTATCAGCCATTTCAGACTCTTCTATTGAGAATTCTCTATTTAGTTCTGTACCCCACTTTTTGATTGGATCCTTTGGTGTTTTGGAGACTTGCTTCTTGAGTTCTTTGTAAATTTTGGAGGCCAGCCCTCTGTCAGATGTGGGGTAAGTAAATATCTTTTCTCATTCTGTGGGCTGCCTTTTTGTCTTGCTGACTGTGTCCTTTGCCTAACAGAAGCTTCTCAGTTTCAGGAGGTCCCATTTATTAATTGTTGATCTCAGTGTCTGTGCTACTGATATTATGTTCAGGAAGCAGTCTCCTGTAGCAATTTGTTCAAGGGTACCTTCCGCTTTCTTCTCAAAGAGGGTCAGTGTGACTGGATTGATGGTCTTTGATCCACTTGAACTTAAGTTTTGTGCATGGTGATAGACATGGATCTATCTGCAGTCTTCTACAAGCAGCATCTAGTTATGCCAGCACCATTTGATGAAGATGCTTTCTTTTTTTCCATTGTATAATTTTAGTTTCTTTGTCAAAATTAAGTTTTTGTAGGTGTTTGGGTTAATATCAGGGTTTCCAATTCCATTCCATTGTTCTGTCTATTTTTGTACCAATACCAAGCTGTATCCTGCCACATTGCTGAAGGTCAGCTGTAGGAATTCCCGTGTAGAATTTTTTGGGTCACTTATGTAAACTACCATATCATCTACAAATAGTGAAAGTTTGACCTCTCCATTTCCAATTTGTATTCCCTTGATCTTCTTTTGTTGTCTTATTGCTCTAGCTAGAACTTCAAGTACAATATTGAAGAGATATGGAGAGTGGACACAGCCTTGTCTTGTTCCTGATTTTAGAGGAATTGCCTTGAGTTTCTCTCCATTTAGTTTGATGTTGGCTGTTGGTTTACTGTATATAGCTTTTGTTATGTTCAGGTATGTTCCTGTTATCCCTGATTTCTCAGGACCTTTCTCATAAAAGGGTGTTGGATTTTGTCAAAAGCTTTTTCAGCATCTAATGAGATGATCATGTGTTTTTTCTTTTGCAGTTTGTTTATATGGTGGATTACACTGAAGGATTTTCATATGTTGAACCTTCCCTGCATCCCTAGGATGAAGCATACTTGATCATGTTGGATGATTTTTTTTATGTGTTCTTGGATTGGATTTGCCAGTATTTTATTGAGTATTTTTGCATCAATGTGCATGAGTGATATTGATCTGCAGTTGTCTTTCTTAGTTGTGTCTTTGTGTGCCTTGGGTACCAAAGTAATTGTAGCCTCATGAAAAGAGTTTGACAATGAACATTCTGCTTCTATTGTGTGGAACACTTTGAGGACTATTGGTATTAGCTATTATTTGAATGTCTGGTAGAATTCTGCACTGAAACCATCTGGCCCTGGGCTTTTTTTTTGGTTGGGAGATTTTTTTATGACTATTTCTATTTCATTAGGGGTTATGTGTCTGTTTAAATTACTTATCTGTTCTTGATTTAATTTTGGTAAGTGATATCTATCCAGAAAATTGTCCATTTCCTTTAAAATTTCGAATTTTGTGGAGTACAGGTTTTCAAAGTATGGCCTGAAGATTCTCTGGATTTCCTCAGTGTCCATTGTTATGTCCCCCTTTTCATTCCTGATTTTGTTCATTGTCATGTTCTCGCTATGCCTTTTGGTTAGTTGTGATAAAGGTTTGTCTGTCTTGTTGATTTTCTCAAAGAATCAACTCTTTGTTACATTGATTCTTTGCATCATTTTCTTTGTTTTGAATTCATTAATTTCAGCCCTCAGTTTGATTATTTCCTGGTCGTGATTACTCCTCCCAGGTGAGTTTGCTTCTTTGTTCTAAAGCTTTCAGGTGGTCTGTTAATTCTCTATTGTGACTATTCTCCGGTTTCTTCATGTGGGCAATTAGTGATATGAACTTTTCCTCTTAGTACTGCTTTCAAAGTGTCCTATAAGTTTGAGTATGTTGTGCCTTCATTTTCATTAAATTCTAGGAAGTCTTTAATTTCTTTCTTATTTCTTCCTTGACCCAGGAATGGTGCAAATGTGCGTTGTTCAGTTTCCATGAGTTTGTCTGGTTTCTGCAATTTGTGTTGTTGTTGAATTCTAGCTTTAGACCATGGTAATCTGATAGAATACAGGGGTTTATTCCAATTTTTTTCAATCTGTTGAGGTTTGCTATGTTGCCTAATATGTGGTCGACTTTAGAGAAGGTTCCATGAGATGCTGAGAAGAAGATATAATCTTTTGTGTTTGGGTGGAATGTTCTATAGATGTCTGTTAATCCCAATTGGGTCATAACTTCTGTTAGTTCCTTTGTTTCTTTGTTAAGTTCCTGTTTGGTGGTCCTGTCTAGTGGTGACAGTGGGGTGTTGAAGTTTCCCAATATAAGTGTGTGAGGTCTCATGTGTGCTTTAAGTTTTAGTAATGTTTCTTTTACAAACATGGATGCCTTTGTATTTGGGACATAGGTGTTCAGAATTGAGACTTCATCCTGATGGATTTTTCCTGTGATGAATATGGTATGACCTTCTTCATCTCTTTTGATTGATTTTAGTTTGAAATCTAATTTGTTAGATACTAGGATAGCTATATCAGCTTGTTTCTTGGGTTCATTTGATTGAAAAATCTTTTCCCAACCCTTTACTCTGAGTCTGTCTTTGAAGTTGAGGTATGTTTCTTGTATGCAGCAGAAGGATGGATTCTGTCTTCTAATAATTCTGTTAGCCTGTGTCTCTTTAAAAGCAAATTAAGACCATTAATATTGAGAGAAATTAAGGACCATTGATTGTTAATTCTTGTTTGTTTTTTATTTGTTGGTGGTGTCGGTATTGTTTTTGGATTTATTCCGCTTTTTCTTTTGACTTCTGATAAAGTGGTATTATCTATTGCCTATGTTTTTGTGAGTGTAGTTAACTTTCTTAGGTTGGAGTTTTCCTTCTAGTACTTTCTGTAGGGCGGAGTTAGTGGATATGTATTGTTTAAATCTGGTTTTGTCGTGGAATATCTTGTTTTCCCTATCTATAGTGATTGAAAGCTTTGCTGGTATAGTAGTCTGGGCTGGCATCCGTGGTCTCTTAATGTTTGTAGAATATCTATCTAGGACCTTCTGGATTTCAGAGTTTCCATGGAGAAGTCGGGTGTGATTCTGATAGATTTCCCTTTATATATTACTTGGCCTTTTCATTTGCTGCTCTTAATATTCTTTCTTTATTCTGTATGTTTTGTGTTTTAATTATTGTGTGTCGAGGAGACTTTTTGTGGTTCACTCTCTTTGGTGTTCTGTAGGCTTCTTTTACTTTCATTGGCATGTCTTTGTTTATGTTGGGAAATTTTTCTTCTATGATTTTCTTGGATATGTTTTCTGCCCCTTTGAGGTGAGTTTCTTCACCTTCTTCTATACCTTTTATTCTTAGGTTTTAAATTTTCATGGTGTCCCATATTTCCTGCATGTTTTGTGTTAGGGATTTGTTGGACTTAAGATTTTCTTTTGTTAATGAATCTATTTCTCCTAGTGTTATCTTCAATGCTTGAGATTCTCTCTTCCATATATTCTGTTGGTTATGCTTGTATCTGTAGTTCCTGATTGTTTATCCACCTTTTCTTATTCCAGAATTCCTTCAAACTATGTTGTTTTAATTGTCTCTATTTTATCTTTCAACCCTTGCACTATTTGAATTGTTTCTTGCAATTTTTGATTTGTCTTTTCTTTCATTTCTTTAAAGGATTTTCTCATTTCTTCTCTTAGAGTCTCTATCCTAATTAAGTTGTTTTTAAGGTCATTCTCTTCTGCTTCATCTGTGTTGGGATGTTAAGGACTTGCTGGTGTAGAGGACCTAGACTCTGGTGGCATCATATTGGTTTTTTGGTTGTTGAATGTGTTCTTATATTGTCCTCTTCCCATCCCTTCTTCCAGTGGGTACAGGTGGGTATGGGTCCAAGGTTCTCTTCTATACTCCGAACGATGATGGCAAGCTCTTCAAGGGTTTGGATGAGGTGCTGAGGAAGTGCAGGATGCAAATGCAGCAATCTAGTTCAGAAGTTCAAACTGAAGAAATGGGAAAGTAGCTGTACCAATCAGTGATTTTGGTATAAAAACACAACCGAGGTATCAGTGTTCACTGGAGTAAACTTCTTGTCATTGAGAGATCCACTACTTTAGAACAGACAAGAAAGAGGCTGGGCAATTGTTTGGTTTTCATGTACCAGCTGTATTATTTGTGAATTAATTTAAAAGAGATGTGATGCCCATGTATGAACACACCAACAGTTGAGGGTACAATGCCACCAATTTAGTCATGACATTTCGCTAATAACTGTAGGTTTGAGATCAGCTGTAGGGAGGCCTTTATCACTTGCAGCCCTGGGAGCAGCAGGTACCTGAAGCACCTGCCCATAGAGCACATAGTGGCAAAAGTCCACACTCAGCAAAGAAAGAGGCAGTAGTGAGAACCATAGTGTCCCTTCTGTGGTCCTGGGTCAGAGTGTTTGTGGTGCCTGTGCCACAAGCAAGTCTAATGTATTAGGCAAAGCCTAGAGATTTAAATGAAAGACAAGATGTCTGGCCGTTTGTGCTAAGAGATTGTGTTTGTGTTTATTGCAAGGAGGGAGTGGTCTGATATATAGACTTACAGCACAATGGAGAAACCCCTGGTGTAAGAGTTCATGTTTTCATAATTAGAGGTTGATGCCAGTGGAGCAAGGCCTGGGCTGTAAGACAGGACTAGAAAACAGGATGCACCTGTGGTTATTGGCTGATAAGCAACTTACAGAGACCCCATGGGGACTGGGGCCCAACAAGTGTTGACAGTGGTATACCCCAAAATGGCATAGGGGAAGACTGTTAGTGGGGACTATGGTTGCCTATTTTCAAGCCTAACATTGACACCAAACCCATTGGATAGCCACACATCCATGCTAACAGGGAACCATGTGCTCATCTCTGAAATAGGTCCCAGGTTGCTTCTCTAATGGCTATTTCTGCACCCCTTTGTTTTCCAGAACTGAAGCATCATCTGCTACAGTCCTCATAGCTCTGCTCCTTAGCTCTGTGGTACTGCGGATGGTTGCTGTCTCTGCTGTCTATGTCTACAGGAAGCTGAAGATCTGACTGTAGGTTTGAGGGAGGGTAGTCCAAGGACTGTCATAGAAGGGGCAAGGCCCGGGTCAGGTAATGTAACACAGCATCAGGTTTAAGGAGTCTGGAAGAGGTAATTACACACTGCTCTGTATATTCAGGAAACTCATGAAACCCTGGGCGGTTCCCAGCCCCCAGGAGGTGTGTGTGATATGCAGAAGGGGATATGTCAAGGGTTTGTTAACAGTATTCACAGTGTCTTTGATGATCTGAAGGAAGTGTGGACCAAGGGGTAATGGAAGGTGCTGACTTTCATGGTCTCCTTGGAGACCATGTCTAGATTAATAGATGGCTAGGGGTCTGTGGGCCAAGGGGAATCTACATTTTTAGGAATTATAGATGATCTGCTCTTAGGGATGTTTCTATTGCTTGTGGCCAAGAAATAACAAAGAAAAATGGTCGTGACTTGGGAAAGACGCTGAAGTGACAATTCTGTGGCATGGGGTTCTCATCCACGGATGACATGCATACCAGGAGGAGAGGAGTACTAGGGATGTCATAGAAATTGAAGGATACTCCAAAATGATAAGAAAATTATTAAATGGGACATATTTTTTCATTTCTCTCTCCTTCTTCTGTCACATTGGACTTTTAATTTGTGCTACCTCCTAATGCCTTCCCTCCCAGGACAGCAGCTAGCCCATAATATCTGGATGTTTCTCTGCATAGGCCTTGATTCCCCGGAGCTGGATTTGGATCCATATTACTGAACAGGTGCCTGTGAATGGGCTCTGGGCCCCAGCTCTGGACCCTCCCCAGAATGTGAGGAATAAACCTAATCTGAGCACATCTGGGTGTCTCTCTACCCTCATCATGGGGTTGGCTGTCACTACATCTACTATTCCATGCTCTCCATAGCTACATTATTTTCTGAATTTCTGTCTAATCAAACTCTCAAACCATATTGATGTTCTCAAATAAACCCCAGCCTAACTTAGGAATACAAGTTATGTTCTTTCCTCTTTATATAAGTCTGTCTAGTCCCAGGCCCACTTCACAAAAGACTGCCCTACCCTCTCTGCGATGTCAGCTCTTCTGTCACCTACATTCTTCTCATCCCTATTGCCCATGGTGCCAGTGCTGGGACAGTTCAGAGATGCCAAATCAGTCTTGCTTCCTTTCTTTTCTTCCCCATTATAATCAAGACTGAAAGTACTTATTTCCACTGATGAAACGGTAACTCTTCCAAACCTGAGTCTAAAATGAGGAAAAAAATGATTTGTAATACTTGTGTTATTCTCATATAGATTCTCTCACTATGGTTAATTTGGGGTTACTAACAGTTTAAACACAAGATTTCTCCGTCTAGTTCACTCCCAACACAACACTGTGTTGTGCCCACTGTCTGTCTCCCTTGGCTCAGCCATATCACACCCCATCATACCCCCTGGACCATTGTATAGTCTCTTACCGACTCCAGTTTCAGGGTTTCCCTAGATAAGGACAGTCCTTGCTCTGTATAGAAGAGCAGGGTTGTTAGAAACTGAAGCTGGTGGAATCCACCTGTGGATTCCTTTGAGGGAAATGTGATTTGTGAGGTGGTTTTTAAAAAAATATTTGTGTGGGTGTGTGTGTGGGGGGGTGTTTATATATGTGAGCTTAGGCATGTGTTGTTCATATACCATGGTGCATGTATGCAGGATAACTTTGGGTGTTGGTACTCTCCTTGTACCTTGCTCAAGACAGGGTTTTCTGTTTCAGACTACATATAGTAGGCTAGCTAGCCTGCTCTCTTCCAGGGATTCTCCGGTTCCTACCTCCAGTTTTGCTGGAGGAACACTCTCATGACCTGTTTATGAGAGGTGCTCACACTTATCCATGTCATTTCAGCCCCTTTTGTGAACCTTATGAGGTTTTACAAACATTAAAAACTGTCAAGGCTGGGGACATGGCTCAGCAATTAAAAATGTATACTGTTCTCAAAAAGGACCTGAGTTCAGTTCACAGCACCCACTTCCAGATGGCTTACCATCTGTAACTCCAACTCCAGGGATCCACTCCCTCTACTGGACTCCCTGTGTGTGTGTGTGTGTGCGCACGCGCGTGCGCGCACGCACACACACACACACACACACTATAGACATAATTAAAATTGTTTAAATAAAAAGCAATCATAAAAACCTCCATATTGTCAGTAATTAATGTATAAGTAAAGAATAATACAAAAATTATACTTAGTACACTGCAATTTGAAATCTTAGACATTGTGGGTTTTGTCTTTTGTTTTTGAGAAAAATGTGAAGAATATTTTGAACAGTGATTGACTTCTTATACAATTTCTCTGTAAGGCAGGCATCTTTTCTATCTTGTTAATCATCATCCTCTGTGTGTTTTGGATCAGCAGTCAGCACTTAATCCTTTGTACTTTTGGTGCTGGGAGATGTCTCCATAGTTTTTTTACTGTGAAGTTTTAGACGGTGTCATCTTTCTTCTTTTGCTACTGCCACATTCTTTATGAAATTCTCTGGCTGCCCAAGTAGAGTCTCTCAAACACTGTCAGTGCCAGCATGCCACAGGAACCTGCTTATCCTTCTCTAACTCCATTCTGGTTGAGATTGCATCTTAACCCAGCAGTAGCTCTTTATGGTTCTTCTCTGAACTTTTATCTTTTTTTTGCTTATTCCACTTTACAAATTGTTTACTTCTGTAAATAATGTGAGGACTCATTACTGAGTGACAAGGGAGCAATACAATCATCAACTTCCTGGGTATGCAAATATTGAGAAAGATGCCCACTGGGAACAGCCTATTACCAGCAGCACTAAAGGAAATGATATGATTGCCACTAATAGTAATAACATTCTAAATTGGTGTGTTGATCTGTGAAGTAAAGGGCCAGCACTCAAGTTTGCACATTGTGCAATTCCTTAAGCTATATTTGTTAGATATCTGTCAGAGAAGACCACTCAGGCATGGTTCAAGCCAAAAGGAATTCTTTGTTTGCCTGCTGTCGATAACACTGGGTGTTTGGGATCTGAGTGCAGCCATAAGCTTTTTTCAGGCTGAACTTTCAAGCCCCAAAACACATCCTGAATGACACACCACAATTAGCAAGAAACTTTAGCTAGAAGCCAAATCTAGAAGCCAAAAAGTAAGATTAGTACATTTAGGGACTTCCCCAAAACTATGAACCTTGATAGATTAGGTCTTTGTTCGCTTTTTGGCAGATGTTGCTGCCTACATGCTGGGTTCCAAGGCCTGAATGGTACTTCCATCATGGCATCAGTTGTTCTTAATGTCCGAGGAACTACTAAGGTCTGGAAGTCTACAACACTACATCTACTATGTGAAGGGAAAATTGAGCCTTGTGTTGGTAGATCAATGTTACTCAAACTCTGGCAACTAAAATTCATGAATTTCCACACCAAAGACCCTTTGTCTTCCTTAAACACAGTGCCAATTCAAAAAGGAAAAGGGCTGTGTGTAGCCTCAGTTTTCAGAATAGGGACTTTCATAAAATACACGTGAAACAGTTTTTTTTTTCTGAGACAGAATTTCTCTGTGTAACAGCTCTAGCTGTCCTGGAGCTAGCTTTGTAGACCAGGCTGACCTCAAACTCACAAAGATTCACCTGCCTCTGCTTCCTGAGTGCTGAGATTAAAGGTGTGAGCCACCACCACCCAGTCATGAAACAATTTTTAAATAATGGATATGTCATTGATATCAGTTTTTCTTAAATGTAATACTTCAGTTCAGAACTTTCCTTCACTTTGCCATTATTCTCCAGATCTTTCTTTTAAAGTTATTTTACTGTCTTTGAATTTAAAAAAAACATAAAAATTCTTCATTCATCTTTTGATCCCTGGCAAAAGTACAGAATGGGTAGCGGTGGAAGACAGGAATACTGGACTTTGCTTCTTAACACCTAATGACCTTAGAAACAATCTGTGTGCCTCAGTTACCTCCTGGGAAGTTGTGGTGAGGCATTGGGAGCTTCCATGATATATATCTTCCACAATAATATAGCCCAACAATGACAGTCTACCAACAGAAGTTCTAAGAATCCAGTAGTTGTTCAGTCCATGAGGCTGGGTCTTCAGTGTACATCAGAATCCCAAAGAAGTAGGCTCTAATGCCAGTGAAGAAATGGACTTGCCAATTAGAGTGAGAGCAAGCAGGCAAAGAGCAAGAGCCTCCTTCTTCCATGTTTTTATATAGGCTGCCAGAGGTGTGACACCTAAAAATATCTGGATTTAAAGGTGCATCCTTTCATCTCAGGAAGTCTTATTAAAAATGCATCTTCTGACTTTAAATGATTTAATTAAGAAAAATCGCTTACAAGTATATCCAGCCACTTGGGTTTTAGTTAATTCCAGATACAGTCAAGTTGACAATCAAGAATAGCCATCACAGATAGCGAGACAAAATTCTGATGAATCTTTGCCAGTGAGAGAGGTATCGTTCCTCTCATTGGGAGACTGTTCTTTCCCACAGTGGTAGAAGTATCCTCCCTTAGTGGTGATGCATTTTGCCTAGCACTGTCAGAGGGGATCTCCCGTCCATCCTAGGAAAGCTTTCATGGCTTCTCTAAGGTAGTCCCAAGCAAGGTAGTGCTGACTGTGCCCAAGAAGCACCTTTGTCATCCTTCTTTGCTTCTAGGTGTATAGCAGAAGTCTAAGCAGGTCATTGAATATAAGATATGATGCCAAGTAAACAATCTGATCAGTGTACTTCACACCAAAATTTTAATTGAAATTTCTAATTGATAGAGAAAAACTCTGGAGAACCTGTGTGGGTAGGGATAATGGTGATGATGGCAGAAGGAACATAGATCACATTGATATGCTGGCATGTGCTCACTAGAGAGAGACCTGGTATTTAATAAGAAAATGCTCTAATAATTTGTTAACTTGACACATACAATGTCACTCCCTTCTGTCTCATATCCTCATGTCACAGAGGAAGAGAGTACTGTGTCTTGTCCACAAGTAGTTCTGTGTGACAAAACAGTCAGGCACCACCAAAAAGTAGTCAG